ACGCTGCTGCAGTTGAGGACGAAAGAGGCGGCGGCGACATCATTTTACACAGATGGACAGTTTCTGATGGTATGTATCCAAATATCACCATATACTTACTCTTAACTAGATAACGAGATGCTGTAAACAAATATAACTATAAGTAAGACAGAGCGAGAGAGAGAGAGAGAGAGAGAGACATACATGTGATAGACATGCATGCATGCACCTTGTATTCACCTATGTTTGGATTGCTTTCCCATGAGGCAATTTCTCATTTGTCAGGTCCTCCACCGGACGCGAGATGATGTGTGGACGCTGCTGGAGAATGCTGAGGGGAACTGTCTGCAGGCGCTGATCGAACAAGTGACGCAAAGTGGTGCCCCCCCCAGTGATGTCTGTTGGTTTATAATCCCAGGTGTATATCTACAAACAATCATATAGTTATAATATATATAATTTTATTTTATATATATATATATATTACATACCCTGGGATTCAGAACCACTATTATCATAATGGGGGTTCTCTAACCACCATGTTTAAGCCTAAACCACGAATGGTGGTTCATCTAGGTGTTTCCGCTAGGTTTGGCCCATCAAATCATAGAGATATGATCGTCGTTGGCCATTCATTTTTTTCGAGATTCTACGATAAAGGGCTCTACCCTCTGGTAAACTAACATAACTATGGAAAATGACCATTTTCAATGGGTAAATCCACTATTTCAATGGCCATGTTCAATAGCTATGTTAAATTACCAGAGGGTAAATCGAAGACTTGTGACAAAGGAGTCAATGTTTGACTTGGTGCGATGGTGATTTGTTATATTTTTTCACATCCAAAATGGTTGCTCAAAAATACTTCCGCATTCCTCCTAAACAAAAGGGCACAGAAGCATAGGTTGACTGTATTGTTGCTGATGCCCTGAACAAAGCAAATTTTATAATCATTGGGACCATACCGGGGCAAGTGCAAACGTTGATCCTTCGGACCGAAGCCAGACAAAATTTGGACCCACCGCTCTATAACGATTTGCACTGTCACCATATGAGATTTGTCACCATTTTTCATATTTTTCCTTTGAGGCTAATCTTCAAGCAACCATTGAGTTGTCCTGGTGCAGTGTCACAAACCGCTGGCTTGCTTCCAACTATATACATTGCAGTAAGGCTCCCAAACCTCTTGGCTTGACACGTTGTTTACATGGTTTTTCAGTTTTTCCACTTTTCCACATATATTGTAAAAAGGACAGGTGAATCAAACAGTGTGTGAACTGCTGGAAGGTCCTTAGCTTGATTGAAGTGGTAGCTCATCATGTTGCAACAATAGAACCTATGCATAAATTAATGCACGTGAAATAGCATCATGGTACAACTTTGAAGATGATACGCGGATGTATTTCTATGTATCGTGCCGCAGGTTTGTGAACATGGAGAACGGCCGCTTTTCCACACGCGAATCGCTGAATCAGGTACCAACAAGTTCCAGACGACTAGAATTAACATTTTGAGATGTGGCCCAACAAATTTCAAGGTATCACCTCGGGACTCATCATTTTGAAGTAATATTTGTAATATTTGTGAACACTACTGCGTGAAAAAAACGTGAATGACCGTGAAAAAAGTGTGAACGACCATTTTTAATCGTGAACGATGATTTCCCCAAAATCAGATAAAATCAGTTTTTTTTGGGGAATAAACCAGCCATAGCTGATGCTGTTTTGTTTGACTGCAGTTTGCATTTGGCTGGACCGCAGATTCCTATCAGTCTCTTCTGCGTTTGTATAATATGTTTGTTCATGTTTTTTTTTTACATGTGTTTTCATCAGATATGATATGTTCGATAAATATCCTGTGCTGCAATTAATTGCGTTGTCGAAGTCACGCCTCGCTGTGTGTATTTTTTCCTTGTTCTCAGTTGCTGTTGCATTTCCCCACAGGTTTTCAACTTCCCTGGCCCTGGGGTGGCATAAAAAGGCCATGTTCGCTGATAGAGGTGTTTGGGAACATTTTTTTTACAAAAAGCAGTGTCGCTTTCAAGATTTGCCCAATTGTCAGGAAGAAAAAACAACGCGACAATCTACGGAAGGAAACAAACGCAAGATGCCCTGGAAGAATTCGCGTTTGCCAGTTTGCGACTATTTCCTGCCGCCATACGTCGACAATACACCCCAAAACATTTTTTGTTGATGCGGCAATGTTTGTAGTACAAACGGTGGGCCTTTGAATTTTCGCATGGTGAGGAATCCGCCTGGGAGGGACACGTGCTTCTTGTGGAAAAGGATTCTGGGAGTCGCCCTGGCATGAAGCCGTTGCCGTTGGCCTTGTTCCATTACCCCCAGTCGCTGCCAGCATCAGCGCACACCGCAACGGCAAACTCAACACCATGAAGATCATGAAGGGCGGAACGGGAATCCCTTTGGTACATATAGGACTTGTTGTAAGCAATTCGCAGGTCTTTCCTATAGATGTCGAGATATTGTTTGCACTCTTTCCATTTCAACCCAGGGCCATCAATAATTTAAAATTCAAGCAGAGAGTGGCAGAGAGTTGAGCCTGGTTGAGCCTCAAGCGTCGCAGGTTTTGATCATTTGGAAGGTGGATAGAAAAAACACAATTAGTGCCATGTGTCGTTGTGTATGTGCGTGGGAACAGCCATAACAGCCATTCCGCGAAATGGTCTCCCCGAGCACTTTGGCAAAATAGCCTTTCCGAGACCAACCTTATTTAAAGTAATCTTTCTAATGCTAGGGTATATGTATGTTAATACATATATATATATATTTACACACACACATATATATATATATATATACGTACACATATTCATTTGTTTTTAAAAGTCTCACATAAGTCTAGCTACCCTAACGTCTTAGTTCATCCAGGTATAAACCACATTAACCAACACCGGCCTGTTTTCTCCGTCGGCAGGCTTCCAGTTCTGCAGGGAACGGGGAACATCCCAGGATGTCACCTTGCGATCCCGAGAGCGACTCACAAAACTGGGCCACTCAGCCGAGTGAATGCTGAATGGGGTTTGTTTAATGGTTTATTTCGTGGTTGTATCATTAAAAAACATTAAATGAAGCACCATAGAGTTTCGTTATAACTCAGTTCTGTACATGTTTATTTCATGGTTTATTTCATGGTTTTAGAACTGAGTTGTAACTTATAACTAGACTCTATGATGGTTAGACTTCTAAAACCAGTTGTCCCCATTGAGTTTCAATCTCTGAGAAAGATACATGTTTGGTATGGTTGAGCTCAGGTTTCCATAGAATCACTTTAGAAGTACCCTTCGTGTCCTCAAACGTTGCGGTTTGGAAATTCCACCATTTATGGTGTGGATATGTGTGGATTTTCAATTGCCATATTTGATTACCGGAGGGTATATGTAGGTATAGCTTGCCTTCACCACGTTGCCAGTGACCAGCACAACTACCATATCACCAACAGAAGGAGTATCCTATCAACCTTCATTGCCCACTGTCAGTGGGTGGAGGTTATGGTTGAGGTTCCAACATTAACGGTTTTCTATAATCTTGGAAGGTTTTGGCAGTTTGGTTTGCACACCCATGTTTGATAGTTTGCATTCGTATTCCTATCTGATTTTTTTTTCGCAATTGAACAAACGACATGGAATCCCCAAATTTGAGTTGGTTTTGGCATATGTTTTGTCTCGGTTTCCCACTTGGAAATCCTCACTGTTCTTGTTTGCTCGGTTCAATTTTGAAGCACATCTGGATTTTTCTGAATATAGGGCCCGCTAAAATAGATTAAACTAGCAACTAGATAGTTGCTCATCATGCTCCCGATCAAAATTGCCACAGCTGTCAGGTACTATATCCGATTTGGTTCCAGGCTCACTTCAATATCATATCATATTATCATATTATTGTTTGTACATCCCACTATGACCCCATTATATCAGCATAAACATAGCTACTTCAATCCCCACTTAGTGTTTCTTTGGTTCAACATTTGGATCTTGCCAGACCCAGATGACCCACATGGCCTAGGTCTACGACGATGACTCAGGGTTGATCAAGCACGCCTCAGGCAAATGTTTGGATGCCTCTGGGCTGATATTGAAATATATTCCTCCCTCGATACCATGGTTCAGTACGGTTTAGTATTGTATCCGTTCATGCCATGGCATCTCTATTCCCATAGGATCCATGTATGCTATATATGGTGACATTTACCATCACTATACCCAAAATGTTAGCATATATACCATACATGGATCCTATGGGATTGTGCTTATAAGGGATGGGATATTCAATGACCAGCCAGAAAGATCTAGGGAAATGCCCGGGTACATCACCGGCCCATTGGTGGTTGACGACTCAACCAATCCCAGTTGGGTTTGTCCCCGATGGCGAGTGGCTCAGCCAATTTCTTACCTGCCCGACAGAGTTATGATCACATATTTGAATACCATACAGAAGCTTCATGGGGTGTTTAGGCATGTTTATATGGCACATCTGTAACTTAGAATGTGGCTTTGGAAACCGCCGCCCCACCGGAGAAGCCAAAACTCACGTTTTGGGCACCTTCTACTTTTGAAATAATCTTCCCACCACGCTATGTGCGAACGGTTTGACACTTAGAATGATGCAAAAACATCATCGAAAAATTCTGCACCGGTCAATTTTTTTTAATTTACTGATATTTAGAAGGTTTTCAACACTTAGAATGTGGTTTCTTCATGTTTCTCCGGGAACAATAGGGGAAAAATAGGGAAATAATAGGGAACAATAGGGTAAAAATAGGGAAATAATAGGGAACAACGAGGGAAATAATAGGAAAATCATAGGGAAATAATCTGGTTATATGCTTGTAACGCTGAAAGTGGTGATCCTTCACAGGTTTTGCCATCTTTCTGGTAAACCACCATACCATACCATACCATACCCTTATCCCAGGATCAGTAGTTACTATGAGTTTCCCCGTGTGTTTCCCTAGTTGTTCCCTATTATATATATCTTGCAAAGACAGTTGGAACCACTTTTTTGGGGCTGCAAAAGTGTTGCAATTCAATTTGTGTGTTTTTGCAGGTTTCATACATTTAGCATGACCGTCGAAAGGGTAGAAGTGGATGAACAAAAAAGTGATAATAATCTGGAAGGGTCATCATTTTTGGGTTCCGATAGTCGTTTTTTGAGAAAATGTCATCAAAAAACAGTGAAATCTAGAATTTTGGTGGGAAATCAAATTATGTGTATTTTTGCAGGTTTCAAACACTTAGCATGACAGTCGAAACAGAGTCATTCTAAGTGTCTAAGTTTATCGTTTTGGAAACCTGGGAGGCATATGGGACAATAATAGGGTAAAATAAGGAACTTATATATAGGGAAATAATAGGGCAAAAATAGGGAACTAAGAGGGAAATAATAGGTAAATAATAGAAACAATAGGGAACAATAGGGGAAACATAGGGAAATAATAGGGAACAACTCGGGAAATAATAGGAAAGTAATAGGGAAATAATCTGTTTATATGCTTGTAACGCTGAAAGTGGTGACCCTTCACAGGTTTTGCCATCTTTCTGGTAAACCACCATACCATACCATACCCTTATCCCAGGATCAGTAGTTACTATAAGTTTCCCCGTGTATTTCCCTAGTTGTTCCCTATTATATCTTGCAAAGACAGTTGCAACCACTTTTTTGGGGCTGCAAAAGTGTTGTAATTCAATTTGTGTGTTTTTGCAGGTTTCATACATTTAGCATGACCGTCGAAAGGGTAGCAGTGGATGATCAAAAAAGTGAGAATAATCTGGAAGGGTCATCATTTTTGGGTTCCGATAGTCGTTTTTTGAGAAAATGTCATCAAAAAACAGTGAAATCTAGAATTTTGGTGGGAAATCAAATTATGTGTATTTTTGCAGGTTTCAAACACTTAGCATGACAGTCGAAACAGAGTCATTCTAAGTGTCTAAGTTTATCGTTTTGGAAACCTGGGAGGCATATGGGACAATAATAGGTAAAATAAGGAAATTATATATAGGGAAATAATAGGGCAAAAATAGGGAACTAAGAGGGAAATAATAGGTAAACAATAGAAACAATAGGGAACAATAGGGGAAAAATAGGGAAATAATCGGGAACAATAGGGGAAAAATAGGGAAATAATCGGGAACAACGAGGGAAATAATAGGAAAATCATAGGGAAATAATCTGGTTATATGCTTGTAACGCTGAAAGTGGTGATCCTTCACAGGTTTTGCCATCTTTCTGGTAAACCACCATACCATACCATACCATACCCTTATCCCAGGATCAGTAGTTACTATAAGTTTCCCCGTGTATTCCCCTAGTTGTTCCCTATTATATCTTGCAAAGACAGTTGGAACCACTTTTTTGGGGCTGCAAAAGTGTTGCAATTCAATTTGTGTGTTTTTGCAGGTTTCATACATTTAGCATGACCGTCGAAAGGGTAGCAAGTGGATGAACAAAAAAGTGAGAATAATCTGGAAGGGTCATCATTTTTGGGTTTCGATAGTCGTTTTTTTGGGAAAATGTCATCAAAAAACAGTGAAATCTAGAATTTTGGTGGGAAATCAAATTATGTATATTTTTCAAGGTTTCAAACACTTAGCATGACAGTCGAAACAGAGTCATTCTAAGTGTCTAAGTTTATCGTTTTGGAAACCCGGGAGGCATATGGGACGATAATAGGGTAAAATAAGGAAATTATAATATAGGGAAATAATAGGGCAAAAATAGGGAACTAAGAGGGAAATAATAGGTAAATAATAGAAACAATAGGGAACAATAGGGGAAACATAGGGAAATAATAGGGAACAACTCGGGAAATAATAGGAAAGTAATAGGGAAATAATCTGTTTATATGCTTGTAACGCTGAAAGTGGTGATCCTTCACAGGTTTTGCCATCTTTCTGGTAAACCACCATACCATACCATACCATACCATACCCTTATCCCAGGATCAGTAGTTACTATGAGTTTCCCCGTGTATTTCTCTAGTTGTTCCCTATTATATCTTGCAAAGACAGTTGGAACCACTTTTTTGGGGCTGCAAAAGTGTTGCAATTCAATTTGTGTGTTTTTGCAGGTTTCATACATTTAGCATGACCGTCGAAAGGGTAGCAAGTGGATGAACAAAAAAGTGATAATAATCTGGAAGGGTCATCATTTTTGGGTTTCGATAGTCGTTTTTTGGCAAAATGTCATCAAAAAACAGTGAAATCTAGAATTTTGGTGGGAAATCAAATTATGTGTATTTTTGCAGGTTTCAAACACTTAGCATGACAGTCGAAACAGAGTCATTCTAAGTGTCTAAGTTTATCGTTTTGGAAACCCGGGAGGCATATGGGACAATAATAGGGTAAAATAAGGAAATTATACTATAGGGAAATAATAGGGCAAAAATAGGGAACTAAGAGGGAAATAATAGGTAAATAATAGAAACAATAGGGAACAATAGGGGAAAAATAGGGAAATAATCGGGAACAACTAGGGAAATAATAGGAAAATCATAGGGAAATAATCTGTTTATATGCTTGTAACGCTGAAAGTGGTGATCCTTCACAGGTTTGCCATCTTTCTGGTAAACCACCATACCATACCATACCATACCCTTATCCCAGGATCAGTAGTTACTATGAGTTTCCCCGTGTGTTTCCCTAGTTGTTCCCTATTATATATATCTTGCAAAGACAGTTGGAACCACTTTTTTGGGGCTGCAAGTGTTGCAAGTCAATTTGTGTGTGTTTTTGCAGGTTTCATACACTTAGCATGACCGTCGAATGGGTAGTAAGTGGATGAACAAAAAGTGAGAATAATCTGGAAGGGTCATCATTTTTGGGTTTCGATAGTTGTTTTTTGGGAAAATGTCATCAAAAAGCAGTGAAATCTAGAATTTTAAACTATGTGTATTTTTGCAGGTTTCAAACACTTAGCATGCCCATGAAACCGAGTCATTCTAAGTGTCTATGATAAAAGTTTTGGAAACCTGGGGGTCATTCTAAGTTACAGATATGCCATATAGTTTGTCTTGGGTTATATGGCTGCGAGTCAAAATATAAGGTCTGGATCAAGCTCCGGGCCCACATGTGTTCCAGACCCACGATCCAGACCTGCGATCCAGACCCCTTTAAAGAAAACGATCCAGATGCTACGATCCAGACCATATGATGAACAACAGAACTGATGTTAAATATGATGTTAAGTAACCTTGCAAGTAGTCAAACATCATTTTCACATGCACACCATCCCAATCTGCAGGCATACCGCAATGGGTCGAATTGAGGAAAATGCAGTATAGGGCCAGGTTGTTGGTAATTTTTAGTTGTCCGCTTAAGGCATCCATTGGTGCTGATTTATATTGACCTGCGCTCATATTATATTTTGCTTCAGGCCACCATACGGAAGCCATTTGGCTAAAAGTGTTTTTCCAGGGGAACTTTGCCCGGTTAAACAATGCCGCCTAAAAAGGCGTTGACATGTTCCCAGATCGTGCGTTTGAGCCAAGTTGCATTGGCTGACACTTGCCAAACATGGGAAGTGAAATGCTCAGCTCATGCTTTGGATTTGGAAATCAGGGCTGCTCTTGCCCGGCGTATGGTAGGAGATTTGTACGAGGCGCAGTCAACTACATTGAGAAGAAAATGGATGCACGAAGACTGAAGACAACACCATCTGGAAAGGGAGTGCGACAGCATTTGAATGCGCTCCGGGAGGCAGAGATTGAGGCATTGAAGAGTTTGAAAAGCACACTTTCTCTTCTAGAGGGCTGCGAGCACCATTTCCATAGCTTCCGGAGGCAACACCACTGCAGGGAGAAGATGGAAGAAGAACTCCCAGGCGACACTCTCCTTTTGCAATTGGATTATGCTGAAAATCTCACTTTGCCAGTAGGCCCTGTGGAGGAGCAGTCATGGTTCTGGGCCACTGCCCGCTTGAGTTTCTCGACTTTAGGTATTTATGCTAGCTACCACAAAGAGGGACGCCAGCAGCGTGTTTATTTCCATTACATTTCGCAAATTCTGGATCACACTGCCCTTCATGCTTCAGTGGCGCTCAAAGATTGCATCCAACGACTCGCCTTGCCGGAATCTTGCAAATGCCTGCATATTTGGAGTGACTGCGGGCCGCATTTTAAGGCTTATACATTTGTGGCTACCGCGGTAGACATTCTCCAAACATGTCCTGCAATTTCTTCGATATATTTCAATTATTTTGGAGAGCACCACGGAAAGGGCCGCAATGATGGCCAATTTGGCCTACAAAGGAAATGGCTCGAATCCTTTGCAGCGCGGAATGTGGTGTCAAATAGGGAGACCTTGCTTCGAGCCTTCAATGAAGGAGCCAGGCACACTATGTTAAGCGATCCACCGCCTTCAGGCCCACGGTATGAAGTGGTGCACTTTCACCCTGAAAAGCCAAAGACCTTTCTTTATCTGGACGTTTCGTCTACAGATTTGAAAATAGATTATACTTATTGTCTTGCTTTCCTGCGCACAGCAGCCACCAAGTATCCAGTGCGGATGATGAATTTCATTTACACTGACAGGATCCCATTGCCTGATGGTGGCGCAAATTTGGGAAGCCCTAATGTGGTTGATCGTATTTGTGAAGACAAAGATTGGAGGGTTTCATATAGAAAAGATGAACCGGAGAAAGAAGCCATTCCGGAGGCTTTGCTGCAGCGAAGGCTGCAAGCACAAAAATACGCCAAAGTGGGCATCACCGCTCGGCGCCAAACGGAGCTGCAACGCATCCTCGCAGAAGAGAAGCAGCGAGCTAAGCGCTCCCAAAAGGCTCGCAGAGAACGTGCGCAATTCAAGGCCTCTGAGTCTTCCAGCTCCTCTGATAGTGACAGCTCCGATTCCTAGCGTGCAAAAGGGCCTTGTGTCTGCAGAGGGGTGCTGGGGATAAAGGCCTTTCAAACGCAAATTCCGTGCAAAGTTTTTTTTTGGAATACGTTTCCATGATGATATGTTTTGTTTCTCAAGGCACATGCTAAAAGCTGGCAACACAATGACAACCTTGGATGGTTTGAACACAGCTTTGACAAAGTAATGAGGGGTGCGGTGGCATGCATTGCCCGTGCACCCGGACCAAACCTATAGATAAAGCCTAGACAATGCGAAGGCCAAGCTTGGAATGCTAGACTGCTCGACTGCATGGAGCCAGCCTGGTTTCACAGCTGCTTGCTTTGATTGGCCTTCTGCTAGTCGCGCTTACGGTACGGCCCAGAACTTTGCAAATGCCTTGGCATTGCACCCGCCCGCCCGACCCTGGACGCAACCAAAACAATGCGTTGGCCAAGCTTGGAGTGCTAGACTGCTAGACCGCATGGAGCCAGCCTTGTTTCACAGCTGCTTGCTTTGATTGGCCTTCTGCTAGTCACGCTTACGGTGTGGCCTGAAACTTTGCAAGTGCCTAGGCGTTGCACCCGCCCGATTGTAGACGCAGCCAAAACACTGCGTTGGCCAAGCTTGAAGTGCTAGAAAACAGCTGCTTGCCTTGACCGCTAGTCACGCTTACGATGCAGCCCACAACTTTGCAATGCCGTATGCCAGTGAAATCCTAGTTGCCGTCAAAGTGAATAGTCAGCATTGCGGCAGAACAGTGTGACACCTTCTCGCGCTCATGTTTTTTCCCCATCGAAACTGACTAAATGTTAAACGGCCAGCATGCTGAATGCTGCAATTCAAAATGATTCAAACATGACGGTGCTTGCAAAAAAAATGATTTGCAGTTGTGGCAAAGTCTAGGCTTGGCGAGGTCCGCATCAAGAAGCCTACGAAACCTAATTCGTTCCACACGTCCGGATCACCGCGGGCCGATCCATACCCGAATTTCGAACCATACCCATATGGAAGACAGTTTTTGTAGCTTGTTGCTGGGTTGATGTTGACACCCCCGTAGCTGGATTACAGTGATCCATTTGACCAGAAAAATGACATGTGACCAGATGCTCAGAAGACTGAGGCTTCCCAGAGAAATGTGAACAATGGAATCATTCATCTCTGGGATTGTGTTCCTTGGCCTAAATCAAGTCAGATTGGTATGATTGGTGGATGGTGGGGGTCAGATAGGATGGTTGATGTAAATCCATGTATGGAACCTTTTTACCTACAAACAGGGTGATTGTTTGGAGTAAAAGTTGAAAACTATTCCAGCACCATGGGTATTATATGTGAAGAATTACAGACATTGACATTACTATCAACTATTATCAACTAACTAATACCCCACATCACTATTTTGTGTCAGCTCAAAAAAGGTTTTTTTCGGTCACAGCCGTGACACATCAGGATGCTAGCAACAAGAATCAGATGTGGCTCTGGACTGAGCCCCTTGGCGACGTTTGTTGGTTTAAAATTGTTTAAATAAACCCCAAGAATACTGTAGTCATCTATAGTCTATAGTTATACGATGTTATAAGTATCATAAACCATAGCTATTGGAGTTATTTCAAGCGACTTAGCTAACGTTTTGGGGGCCCTACTTTGTAGAAATCCTGCTTGTGTACTGGATTTGTTTGCTTTGGGGTTCCTTTTTGGGGGTAGGTCGGCTGACTTCTTGGTGCCAAGGGAAAAGAAACAGGTGAAGAATCGCTATGGCCGCTGTCTCTTGGACAGAAGCTGCGGTGCACCCAGTTCAAAACATAGGATTTTGACAAGTGCCCCTGAATGGCAAGCTTCCAAAAAATCGAAAACAAGGGAAGCCAAAAAACCTCGTTGTCTACACAACAGGCAGATGATTTTCCAAAACATGCCATACTTCGTGATATCTTCGTGGTTCACCCCAGTTAGTGAGCTACAGTGGAACATAAGCAGAAAAATATGGTCCAGTTATAACTGATTCCGAGATCCACCAAGCAAGGCATGCAGGTTTCGGGCTTCCCAACTTGCTGCAGGTATGGATGCACCAAACCCCATGGCGGGCAGTGGCGTGCACATGTGGCCACTGGGTGGCAGCCGATGATTACGAGAATTTGCCGATGATTTTGCCGCAATGTTTTCCGGAAACCCACTTGAAATGGTGAATCGATTAAGGGCATATAGATTATAATAACATACATATATATATATAATTATATCTATCTATCTATCTATCTTTCTATCTATCTATCTATCTTTCTTTCTATCTATCTATCTATCTACCTATCTATCTATCTATCTATCTATCTTATCTATCTTATCTATCTATCTAATCTATCTAATCTATCTAATCTATCTAATCTATCTAATCTATCTAATCTATCTAATCTATCTAATCTATCTAATCTATATAATCTATCTAATCTATCTATATCTATCTAATCTATCTAATCTATCTAATCTATCTAATCTATCTAATCTATCTAATCTATCTAATCTATCTAATCTATCTAATCTATCTAATCTATCTAATCTATCTAATCTATCTAATCTATCTAATCTATCTAATCTATCTAATCTATCTAATCTATCTAATCTATCTAATCTATCTATCTATCTATCTATCTATCTATCTTTGTTTGGGTTCAGCACATCCAAAGATGGAAAATCTAGATGGTTGAGCCAACGAAGGGCATCAACGAATGAGGCATCAACATGCGATACCACCGATAGCCTGAGGACTTGCCACGAGAACTTGCAGAATCAGATCCTCGGCTGTGGAATATCTATACGGAGGAGATGCCCCGAAGCACGGGAAATGCCAATCCTGGATGAACATGTTCATGTTCAAGAGAGAGAGAGAGAGAGATACCATTGAAACGGTACCGGTACCGCCGGCTGATTAAACCATAGGGGTTAGCACTCGCCACAGACACTGGTAGAAGATTAGAAGGTATTACATCCATGAATTTTGTATGCTTAAAAACTGGATAAAACTGAAGATTGTGCATCCATTCGCCAAGTGGATTATATATCCAGCAGACATGTGTATTATCTATGTGTTTTTTGTGATGGTTTCCCCCATTTTTGTCCCTCTCCGGAGTTGGAGTCACCTCCCAAAAAATGGATCAACATGGATCAGAACGGTTTCAAACGAGACAGTGAATTTGCTGTTGAAGAAGCTGGACTTCCAAGGTTTCAGACCTCAGAGATCCGATGTAGATTATTGGAAAGCCCTGATTCATGGCTTATAGTTGGTGCTTAATAGGGCTCTAATAAACCTTCATTATTTGGGCCGGGGGCTTCCCCTTCGGGTGAGTTTTCCCAATTCTTCTTGAGTTTCAAATTTCTTGGCGACATAATTACGCATGACTCCATTTTCTTGAGCTTGGCTGAATCAGTGATCAACTAGATTCACTAGATTGATAGTGTTCCTTTAAAGAGCCTCCTAGATTAGAGGTTAAATCCCTCTGTTGGTTGGCGGAATGCCCCAGGCAGTGGCTCTTCGTCCCCTCCAGCAACTTCATTGGAACCACGGCGACGACCACGTTGGAGGCACCGATGCTGGAGGAAGTGGGAAGAATGGAAGTATCCGCTTTGACATCTTTAAGATGTTTAAGGTGGTGAATCATTGGCTCAAAGGGCAACTTCTTTAATATAGGGATTCTGCGTTGCCATTCTTGACCACTAGACACCAACTCGAAATCCCGATCTTTCTGGATTAAATCGCAGATCTTCTCGGCTTTTCCCATGGTTTGACCCATGTTCAACGAGGCACCCGGCTCCACCAGCAGCTCCACCAGCAGCTCCACTTCGACGTCCACCACCACGACGCCGAGGCCGCTGAGCGCGCTGCGGAACTGTCAGCTGGAGCCGTTGGTGGAGGGCTCCGGGTGCAGCCGTTGCTTGGCTCAGCTTGGGGAAACCGTTGGGGAGAGAGTTTCAGCAAAACATGGGTTAGTTGAGGCAAAACATGGGTTAGTTGAGGTTTTAAGTTGAGAGAAGTGGTGATTTTGACCCAAGAAATACTGGGAAGTTTGCTAATTAGTTTAGTTGAAAGAACTAGGTTAGTTGCATGCGCTATGGTAGATATATCGAAGTAGCCACACACTACACAAATCTGAATTCTACATGTTCTTTTAGCCTCCAAGGCATGAGTAACCTTGAGATGACTTGAGGCTTAGCGGTGCTCGAGCATGAGAAGTTTGGTGTGGGTGAGCCACTTGTCCGAGAACAAGGAAGTGACCGTTGCTGATGGCCGCTGCAGGAGGTTATTGCCATTTGATGCCAACTGATTCCATGATTGTTCATGGGGTATAGGAAGATCTATAATCAGCGGGAAGATTATAAATAGTTGCTTGATGATGTTCACTGATTTTCCATTGCCATGTGAGGTTCAAGAGGGCCAAGGTTCATTGGAGCAGCAACATAAAGAGATATGGCGAACAATAAACACGCATACGATTCCTAGATTGAGGTCACAGACGTGCTTAGCAATACCGGTTTCCTATGAAGATAGTTGCCATTCTGCCTACATTTGGCTGGGGAAAAGTGGTTCCTTCAGTTTCTTGATTGGATGACTGGATCCTGGCATTTGTATCCAGCCTTGAGCAACCCCTCCTGGACGCCCTAGGAATGGACAAGAGACACAGGGCCGGCACACGTGTTTGGAAGCTTGGCGAGCACGGAAGGGGGTGCAATTCCACTTGTAAGTAGTCAATAAGTACTCATCTGGCCAGAGCTGTAGGGGTTACATAAATTATCACAAAATACACTCCTACTTATAGATTTTATAGCGGTTATTGCCATGCTTATATGCATCAGTAGCCCCTACCGCAACCCCAAAGTAGTTTTCCAGATGGACATGTCAGGGCCAAAAATGGGACCTCCATCATTTGGAGAGGGCCATGGAGAGAGATTTGGTGGCAACTCTGGATGTTTACGTCTCACAAAAAGTGACCAGCCTGGCTGCAGCTTGATGATGGGCCCCATCTTGTTGGAGTGAAGCTTCAAGACCTGCCCAGACATGATTTGTTGTCCGGCGACCTTAAGTCATCCCATTGGGGGGCATGACCTTGCGGCAAGAATTGAATGGCTAGATATGGCTAGTATGTTGTTGGTTTTTTGGGTGTCAGTTAATTTTCAGGAACGTTCACGACAACATGCACCACCAAGGGCTGGTAGAGAAGGGTGAACATGTGGTTTGTGTGTGAGAGAACCTACCCTTGCTCCTTGCTCGACTCCCATGAAACAAGGAGATGATGAGGACCTATGCTGATGCAGACAGTTTTGTTCACTATTTGGGTGTCTTGTTTGCAGCATTCCTTTGCATTCCTTTGCATATCTTTGCATTACTTCCCAGGGAAGGAACACCGAGGGGCGTCATGACATGTCATGACCCCAGCTTGGTTGCAAACACCCGGAGCCATGTTGGACATTCGTCAAGGCCTTTCTGACTAAAGGTGTGTACTTTGATGACTTTCATCGCATCGCCTAAATCCATGTTGCACTTTTGGTGTTGGCGCCCTTGGCAGCCTATTCCTGTCCTGAACAGAAACCAGTCGGCTGGTTCCTCATTTTCCAAATTTGTTTCATGGTTCAACACCCAATTCTGGGGCTACCTTCCCTATGTACCATACCAAAATATCATATCCAATCATATATCATATACCATTTACATTCGTATAATGTACAGTGTCTCTCTCTCTCTCTCTATTTATATATATATATATATTATCATAGCAGAATTTCCACATCAACTTCCAAGCGTGTTTTCCTGCTTCACTCTCCCCTCTCCATCCGTCCGCGCGTCACACGTTGCCGGAGGTCGCTGTGAGATCTGGCGATGCGTCACCAAAGCGCGGCTGAAGATGTCAGCGGGGCCCGGAGGACAGTTATGGGGAGACCATACTGGAGATGCCAGCCATGGTGTTTCAACGAGATAAATATAGATAAATCATAAATAAGTGTAATCATATATGGAATTATTTTACATATCATCGTAATTAAATCTAGGTGTACTTTACATGTTATATACATATATGAAACTGATTGGAATTATGACAAGTGATGAAATATAATGAAATTTACGGATAATTACTTGATGCTCGTTGGTGCTTATCATAAGGATACAATGGGAAGATAACCTGTATGGATGGCAATGATGATTTAGATTTGGGAATCATACCAAAATCATATTTCAGGGTGGTGACTTCATATGTAATTAGATCATTCAGATCATGGGTCAATGATGTCAATGAGTGAATTATCCCGAACATCATCAATCTTAATCAGATTAAAATCATACTAAATTGATCATCTTTTAGCATTTCACAAAACATACTTAGTGAAAACCTCCAAGATCCTCCAAGCAATTGTTCTATTCTGGGCTCTCAGAGAGTCCCATCAAAAGAGGTCAACGCACCACCCAAAAACTCCCATCAACATGGGTTAAGAATGCTCATTCTTCCAGGTAAAATCCGCACTTTTCACATCTAAACTATTTTAAAATCAGGGTATTCTTAGGTCCTTCTAGGTATGCTCATTCCCACCTACGGTGGATGGAAGAAATCCTGCACCAGTGGATAGGAGGTTTTGGTTTAACCATCCAAGGTGGTGCAGGATTTCTTCCATCCACAGTATCTTTGGTTCGGATCTTAGCGTTTTCAGGAGCTGTGTCCTCTTCTCCCAATGCCATCGCGTTGATCGGAAGCAATGGGCGCTACCTCACGGCGGACCAGGCGCGGGGGGCCAGTGATGGTGCAATCCATGTAACTATGGATCAATATCTATAGATCTATAGTATCTATATAGATACCATAGCTATAGTCTATAGATAGCATTTTTGCGAGATTTTATATGTTTGCATCCCTAAACCAGCTATTTTGATGTGAACTATATACAGGGTACAAGGTTTTGACCCATCCCCGTGTAACTGTCTACAATTATAACGAGCTACGATGAGTATAGTATGTATGGTTTATTTTAACTATATAGTTATATTACTTAAGTTTTTATATGGTTATCTAACCATACAACTACTATAGCTATAACTACGAACTAAACGCCAGTGATCGTAGTAGCAAGTTACGTTCGCAAACTATGGTAACCCACCTTGTAAGTATCATAAACCATACTTATCGGAATTATAAATCAACTTAGCTATCTAGGTGGCCCCAATTTGCTTATTTAATGCAACTATGCTATAGACGGCCGGTTTTTTCATAGATGATTTATGACTTAATGTATCTATTAAAAACGATGATTTTCCAAAGCTACGTGAGGTATTTAACATTGACGCATATGGATTTTTCGGATTTTTCATCCTCTACATAGGTTCTTAATCATTGGGTGATAGGATACATGGGGGGAGTTACCATTGTAGCCATTTAGATCCCTGCATCACTAGGGACTTGAGGAAGATGAGTCCCATCGTTTGCCTGGTCCATACCTAGGGGGTCACCCCCTTATATCAATTCAGCACTGTAAATATACCATACCCTCTGGTAAACTAACATAGCTATTGAATATGGACATTTATAGTGGATTTACCCATTAAAAATGGTGATTTTCCATAGTTATGTTAGTTTACCAGAGGGTACATGATGTGTATATCCCAAGACAATCATGTTTCATCCGTTTCATCCATCTTGAACATGTTGCATTATCAGTGGGATGATTCAACATGACATGGTTCAACATTTCACTTCATATATTTGTCGGGGTTGGATCGTGCACGGCTCACCTCCCCTGGGGCCCCTTTGCAGGCCGGTGGAATGCACGCAACGGAAGAGTCCTTTGTACCCGAAGCCCTCTTCTACTTGAAGGACTGCGAAAACCTGGGACAAAATCTATTTTTGGAGCATTTTGGAGCATAAACTTAAATGAGTAAAGCTTATTACAGGCACCCCCAACCAAAAAAATATTCCGAAAATTGTAGCAGCTATGATCGTTTTTACCCTCTGTTAATTTGTTACATAGCTATTGAAAATGACCATTTATAGTGGATTTACCCATTGAAAATGGTGATTTTCCATAGTTATGTGACAGTTTACCAGAGGGTATATCCCATTAATATCCCATTGAATCACCTTAAGATCCCATTAAATCACTATAAATTGCCAGAGGGTAAGTGAAATCATCATTAATCACCATTAATCACCATCATTAACCATCATTAACCATCATTAACCATCATGAACCATCATTAACCATCATTAACCATCATTAACCATCATTAACCATCATGAATCACCATTAATCACCATTAATCTCGTTTTTTCAGCTTCGGCATTGCATCTGAAAGGAACGACCTGGAGGCTACACCCTGAAGTCTAAGGCGACGGATCGCTTTCTGAAGGCGGAGCCTGGAGGTTCGATGGCGGATTTTTTGGGTTTCGGTGCTGTCGCCTTAGCTGTGAAAACTGGCGATTCCGCCAAGGGAAATCTTCGAACCAAAATTGAGCTGAGCTTTTCATGGGAGAATCATGGTGGATCTTCCAGCCACAAACTTGATGACACCGGAGGCTACCCGGCCTGGTAAACATATACACAAACCTATGGAAAATCACCATTTTTCATGGGAAAACTCACTATTTATATGGCCATGTTCAATAGCTATGTAACAAATTACCAGAGGGTAATTAGAACATTGCCGTAAAGTTAATGTTATTGTTCTTGGTTCGGTTCATGAGAGAAGTTATATATCTAACATATTCTAAAATGATCTATGTTTTCCAACAAAAAAACATGGATCCTCATTGGCGATTGCATTGTCATCGGAAAACCAATCGTTAAACAATGTTGCCATTGTCACAGCGCTGGTATTCATCATCACTAGAATTATCATGAAACAGATGGAAGGAAAAAATCACCTCTCTTTCTCTGCACCTTTGAAACTGCTCAAAGCAGTTTCGTGTGCAGTAGTCCTTGATGGTCTTTCATATGGTGGTGATGGGAAATTAGGGCCAACTATTGGAAATTTGTTTTATGATGTTTTGTGTACCTAATCTCATTCCAATTGATGTTTCAAACGCCCTAGAAAATCCCTAGAAAATCCTGGAAACGATGTTTTTCTCGTTGGGTTTTCCACCTTTTTTGGCCCAAAAACCGGGTGTGTGTGCCTTGCACTCCGCTCACTGGGAGGACACGTCAGCGCGTTGACGGAGAAGTGGGATGACTGGGAGACTTGGACGGAAAAGCTCGGCGAACACCTTTTCTTTTTTTGATTCTCCACACATGGCTATGGATCAATACCTATTAATACCATTTTTAGTGGGATGAACATCCATTTACCAGCTATTTTGATGTTCACCAGGGGTACAAGGTTTTGACACACTGCCACATCTCCACACATGAAAATGTTAATGGAATACTAATGGATCTTAATGGATCTAGTATGGTATATTGATGAAAATTGCATATTAATGGATCTTTATAATTATTATGGTTAATATGAATCGAATACATGTGAGATAATGTGAGATAATGTGAGATACTGAAAACTGTGTTGATATTTGTTGTTGAAGTATCTCACAAAGGAATAAATCGAGAAGTCCATGGTTGATTCATGAGTGTATTGATTAACCTATATAATTGATTATAATTATATCATGAATCAGAGTGTTTGGTCAATATCCCCATCATCTTGTGGCTTTGCCTGGGCCATTCAAGGCATTTTCCATCCCAACACGGCTTTGTTGCAAGGAGATCTTCCAAGTGGAACACCTGAGCGAACAGGGCAGCATTGCTTTGAAGAGTGACCTGACGAAAGGATAAACCTTAGGAATCTGGTAGAGCAATTTTATTTTACCATGCTAATAAACTCATCCAAATGGGGGGGTTATTACCATCTGGTTATGATTAACAGTTTGCCATGAGAAAAAAAAATAATAGATAGCCCATCTATTTCTATGGGCGATTTTCCATGGCTATGGTGATTTCTGGGCGACGCCTCATCCAGTTCTTGCAGATGTAGCTGCCTAAGAAGCGTTGTGCGTCAGCAGTTCCAGCTGAAGTTACCCTTTGGTAAACATACAAAAAACTATGGAAAATCACCACTTTTCACAGGAAAATCCACTGTAAATGGTCATTCTCAATAGCTATGTTAAATTGCCAGAGGGTATCCCATGTTGAATCACAGTTGATCATATACCATCTGGTTATGCCTAACATAGCCATGGTAGAGCCATGGCCCATAGAAATAGATGGTTTACCGAACTTAAAAATGGTGATTTTCCATGATTTTCCATGGCAAACTGTTAAATAACCAGATGGTAAGCTGGGAATCGTTTCCAAATGACTTGATGTTCCAGATTAGTAAAGTACTCAATTATTTACCCAAATATAAGGGTCACAAAATTGGCTTCTGAGAGTTTGCGGACGGTTTCCAGAGATGTTTGTAGAGTTTGCAGCCCATGAGCAACGCAGAAACACATACCCTCTGGTAATTTGTTACATAGCTATTGAACATGGCCATATAAATAGTGAGTTTTCCCATGAAAAATGGTGATTTTCCATAGGTTTGTGTATATGTTTACCAGGCCGGGTAGCCTCCGGTGTCATCAAGTTTGCGGCTGGAAGATCCACCATGATTCTCCAGACCCAGTGATGACACCCCAATTGCATGGTCCCAATGACATATGTGGAACATGTTGAAATTTTCCATATGGGAACCATGGAAAATCACAATTATGAACAAGTCTGGTTGGTGGTTTCAAACATCATTTTTCCCGAGAGCGTCTGAGCGCAGGGTTCTTCCAATAGTGGGGGCCTGTAAAACATCTTCTCATCTTCACATCTCATCATCACATCTTCTCATCTTCACATCTTCTCATCTTCACATCTTCTCACATCTTCTCATCTTCTCACATCTTCGCATCTTCTCATCTTCACATCTTCTCACCTTCACATCTTGTCACCTTCTCACCTTCACATCTTCTCATCTTCTCATCTTCACATCTTCTCACCTTCACATCTTCTCACATCTTCTCACATCTTCTCACATCTTCTCACATCTTCTCACATCTTCTCACATCTTCTCACATCTTCTCGCATCTTCTCACATCTTCTCACATCTTCTCACATCTTCTCATCTTCTCTCACATCTTCTCACATCTTCTCACATCTTCTCATCTTCTCATCTCACATCTTCCCTCTTGCCCTCTTGCCCTCTTGCCCTCCCTCTGCCCTCTTGCCCTCTTGCCCTCTTGCCCTCTTGCCCTCTCCTTCTTTTCTATTTCTCTTTTGAAGGCGGGAGCAGGGGCAGTGGCAACGAGACGCCACGAAACGCAACCCTTTCGCACGAAATGAGGTTCGATCGTCAAAAACTGAGGAAAAATTGCGATTTCCAACTTGTCCGCGCAACCTTTTCGCACGAAATGAGGTTCGATCGTCAAAAACTGAGGAAAAATTGCGATTTCCAACTTGTCCGCGCAACCCTTTCGCACGAAATGAGGTTCGATCGTCAAAAACTGAGGTAAAATTGCGGTTTCCAAGTCGTCCCGCGAACCCTTTCGCACGAAATGAGGTTCGATCGTCAAAAACTGAGGAAAAATTGCGATTTCAAGTGGTCCGGCGCAACCCTTTCGCACGAAATGAGGCTCGATCGTCAAAAACTGAGGTAAAATTGCGATTTCCAAGGTGCAATCGCCAGCCTTTCGCACGAAATGAAGTTCGATCGTCAAAAACTGAGGAAAAATTGCGATTTCCAACTTGTCCGCGCAACCCTTTCGCACGAAATGAGGTTCGATCGTCAAAGCTTCTGTGTGTAAAAGAGTCTGTGTGTAAAAGCGTCTGTGTGTAAAAGAGTCTGTGTGTAAAAGTGTCTGTGTGTAAACGTGTCTGTGTGTAAAGGCTTCTGTGTGTGTACAAGTGTCTGTGTGTAAAAGTGTCTGTGTGTAAAAAGTGTCTGTGTGTAAAAGCTTCTGTGTGTACAAGTGTCTGCGTGTAAAAGCCCTTGTGTGTAAAAGTCTGTAGCCTTAAAGTGTCTGTGTGTAAAAGTGTCTGCGTGTAAAAGTCTTTGTGTGTAAAAGTATCTGTGTGTGTAAACATGTTTGTGTGTAAAAGCGTTTGTGTCAAAGTGTCTGCGTGTGAAAGTGTCTGTATGTAATGGCATCGTTATGTAAATAAGTTTGTGTGTGCAAATGTACTCAGAATGACCGAACGGTGCGGCCCTCGGATTTTCATTTTTGAAGACACTTCCAAATATCCAATCACTGCACTTGCTTGCGTTTCACCATAGCACACCCTGTCTCACCATAGTGCATCCGCGTGAGTCAAGCAGAACGGGCTGAGACTCTATCGAAGATGAATAAAGCTGCCAATTCCTTTTGCGCATATAGTTGTTGGTCTGTGCAGCTAGGTTTGCATGGAGCCAGGGCCCTGGGTAGAATGGATTACATGGATAGGCAGGCTGCTACCACGAAGAGACAAATCGATATATTATATATTGAGATAGGAATAGCAATATGAAATAGAGATGGATGTATGAGTGTTAATATATAGAGATGGATGTATGAGTGTTAAGATAAGAGTTTCAATTCCAGTCACAGTCAGGGGTCAGGACGCTAAACCCAACAAGAACCAACTTATGTCATATTGTAATACTGTGTGTGTCCCAGCCCAGAAACGTTCGCCGCCTGCCAGGTCCGCCCGTTTATGCTTTTTTTCAGGGAAGGCAAAACACCTTGGTTGGGGAGCCCCAAAGCACATGTGTAAAAGTGTTTGTGTGTAAATGTGTTTGTGTGTAAAAGTGCCTGTGTGTAAAAGCGTCTATGTGTAAAAGCTTCTGTGTGTACAAGCCGTTTGTGTGTAAAAGCAGCTCCTGTGTGTAAAAGGGTCTGTGTGTAAAAGTGTCTGTGTGTAAACGTGTCTGTGTGTAAAACCGTCTGTGTGTAAAACCGTCTGTGTGTAAAAGCGTATGTGTGTAAAAGCGTCTGTGTAAAAGCTTCTGTGTGTAAAAGCTTTTGTGTGTAAAAGCTTCTGTGTGTAAAAACTTTTGTGTGTAAAAGCTTCTGTGTGTAAAAGCGTCTGCGTGTAAAAGCGTCTGTGTGTAAAAGTGTTTCTGTGTAAAAGTGTTTGTGTGTAAAAGTGCCTGTGTGTAAAAGCGTCTATGTGTAAAAGCTTCTGTGTGTACAAGCATTTGTGTGTAAAAGCAACTCCTGTGTGTAAAAGGGTCTGTGTGTAAAAGTGTCTGTGTGTAAACGTATCTGTGTGTAAACGTGTCTGTGTAAAAGCTTCTGTATGTAAAAGCTTCTGTGGGTAAAAGCTTTCTGTGTAAAAGTGTCTGTGTAAAAGCTACTGTGTGTAAAAGCTTCTCACTATTTGGTCTTGATACTCCTCTTCTCGACTGCCTATAACACATCTTTCATACATCGTTTCTAAAATTGCGTCTCCATACTAACAAGAGAAGACCCTGCTCCTCTACGCTCTCGGGCCATCCGTCGTCTAGTTTTAATTTTCCATAATAATTCTATGGGATGTCATCCTTCCCATTTGACGAACTCATATTTTTCAGAGGGGTAGGTCAACCACCAACCAGATATATCTGGAAATGTCATGAAATTCCCAACAACAAAAACCATGGTTTCGTTTAGGGGGCGTTTTTTTTTAGGGTGAAGGGAGTCATCCAAGTCGACGGTGACAGGCTTTCATCAGCGCTATGTCACCATGGGTCCAAGTGGCGTTTGGGCAGGCGCCACGTCTCAGACTTCCGAGGCCCGCAGTTGGTGGCGGATCCAGTTTTTTTGCTGGCTGGATCCGGTTGAAACGTCATTTTATGCTGGGTGGTTTGGAACATGTGGAAATTGTCCATATGGGAATAAACATGGAACATCACAATTATGAACAAGTCTGGTTGGTGGTTTCAAACATTAATTCCCCACCTGCCAGGTGAGGGTTGTTAGATTTTATGTCAGTTGCCTCCTCCTGCCTCCTGCCTCGTCCTCCTCCTCCTCCTCTCCTCCTCGTCCTCCTCGTCCTCCTTGTCATCCTTGTCGTCCTTGTCGTCCTCGTCGTCCTCGTCGTCCTCGTCCAACTGCGACCCGCGATCCACAGTGTTCTCTGTCGGACCTCAACCACGACCATCCACGCCCAGTGTTCCCTGCCGGACCTCAACCACGACCATCCACGCTCAGTGTTCCCTGCCGGACCTCAACCACGACCATCCACGCCCAGTGTTCCCTGCCGGACCTCAACCACGACCATCCACGCCCAGTGTTCCCTGCCGGACCTCAACCACGACCATCCACGCCCAGTGTTCCCTGCCGGACCTCAACCGCGAGTATCCACGCCAAGTGTTCCCTGCCGGACCTCATGTAGGAAGATATGGGACAAAGAATGTGCAGAAGAAAGTTAGAAAGAATGTCAGAAGATATGCCAGAAGATATGCCAGAAGATATGCCAGATGCCCAGAAGATATGCAGATAGAATGCCAGAAGATATGCCCAGATATGAGATGCCAGATAGCCAGATATGCCAGATAGAATGCCAGATAGAATGCCAGAAGATTTGCCAGATAGAATGCCAGAAAATATGCCAGAAGATAGATATATGCCAGAAGATATGCCAGAAGATATGCCAGAAGATATGCCAGAAGATATGTCAGAATATATGCCAGAAGATATGTCAGATAGAATGCCAGAAGATATATCAGAATATATGCCAGAAGATATGCCAGATAGAATGCCAGATGCCAGAAGATATGTCAGATAGAGTGCCAGAAGATATGCCAGATAGAATGCCAGAAGATTTGCCAGATAGAATGCCAGAAGATATGCCAGAAGATATGCCAGATCATATGCCAGAAGATATGCCAGATAGAATGCAAATAGAATGTCAGAAGATATGTCAGATAGAATGCCAGAAGATTTGCCAGTAAGAAAATGTATAAATGTCATGGTGGGGATCACACGAAGTAAAGTAATTTTATTTTCCATAATGAAAAAGGGATCATCCTTCCCATTGACTAATATTTTTCAAGATGGTTGAAATCACCAACCAGTATGGGTTTTTTTACAGTCAACCATATGTCATGGACGTACATGTTGATCATGAGATTGGATTGGTTTGCCATCTATCCCGCTAAGAAGTGTCACACCAAGAGAATGAATTTGTTGGAGGACGGAGAGGTGAAACCATAGATTCTAAAGGTGCTGGTTGGTTGGAAGTTAACATTTTTGCAAAACTCTGAATTGTGGTCCCTAATTCTTGTAACTTCTATCAGATTTGAGGATGTTGGATCCCCAATCCCTATTTTTTATTGGTTTAGTCCTTCAATTGCATTGTTTTTTTTTCTGATTTTATGCTGATATAATTGCTATAATTGCCAATCATCATGTTTTGTTGGTTTAGTTTGCTGTTTTATGCTGAATTTATGCTCATATGCTGATATATCGAGACACCACTGTTGTTGCACCTGGCTCATTTGCACAGGAAGGGGTCCCCAAACGATTGGTAAGTTGGTTGAAAAAAGGCCAGAGGCCAACGTTTGGATTTATGTGGGGGTATATCTACAGTTAGACTTAGGAAACTAATCCAACAAACGTATAGCAACTACCAAACAGATGCAGAACAGGTGTAAAACCCTACCAAAACCCTCATACCATGTTGAACAGACATACACATACAGCAATATTGGGGATTCGGAATAATTAATTAATCGATCCATTTTTATAGCGTTCATAGGGATTTAGTTTATAGATAATATAGCCTAAAAAATGGTATCACTCCGTTTGGATTCTCATTACCCTCTGGTAATTCAACATAGCTGTTCAAACATGGCCCATATATTTCCAGTTTATTGTGCTATTAAAAACAAATACCATGGTGATTTTCCATCCTTACCTGGTTGGTGGTTTGGAACATGATTGTTATTTTCCATAATAATATATGGGACAATCCTTCCCATTGACAAATATTTTCAAGATGGTTATTGCACCACCAACCAGATATTTTTTTTACAGTCAACCATATGTCATAGATGTACATGTTGATCATGAGATTGGATTGCTTTGCCATTTATCCCGCTAAGTGTTACACCAAGTGAATGAATTTGTTGGATGATTACCCTCTGGTAAACTAACATAGCTATTGAAAATGGCCATTTATAGTGAGTTTTCCCATTAAAAATTGTGATTTTCCATAGTTATGTGACAGTTTACCAGAGGGTAACCGGAGGGTATGGGATGGATGACCGTCTCAACGATGCCTAAACCCCATGTCAGGCAGTCTTCCGCCTCGAGAATCGTTCCCGGGCCGCGTGGGAAGTTGCGCCACTGGACTGCCCGGGATGCTGTTTTTTTGTTGGGAAAAGAATGATGGGACATTTACCCTCTGGTTATTTAACATAGCCATGGAAAATCACAATTTTTAATAGGTAAACCATCTATAAATGGGCCATTTTCCATGGCTACTCCCAACTGCCCAAGTCGTGGCGAAATCCCAAAAAAATTGAAATTAGCTTGGGGGAAGGCTTTTGTGGAAGTCGTGGCGATGCGGCGTTTAGCTTGTGTTTAGGGTAGGTTGCTGTTTTACTATCTCATGTAGACCTAAAGTGGCGAAGCGGCGTTTAGGTTGTGTTTGGGGTAGGGCGTTGTTTTACTAGTAGCATAGTGCTTTAATCTTTCTAGTTGCGTTCTCATTGTGTTCTGGTGGGTTCTGCAGCTACTGGGGTCTTGCTGTTGCTGCGGCTGCTGGTTCGACGGCTGCTGCTGTTGCTGTTTCCGGGTACTTCTACACAACGCTGGGATTGTCATCTCTACACTGCCATGGCGGTGTGCTGGGATTCTGCAAATTGTCATTGTTTCGCTACCAGTGATCCAAGGAAGGGCAGGTTTGCGGCTTGCGGGCCAAAGTCCATGTGTGTAGATGCGGGGCTTTTTCCGTACCTCGTTTTGGACCTCGTTTTTTTTCCTTTATCAGAACCCATCCTGCAGTATACAAACTAGGAAAAGGGCCTGCTTCGCGTTTTTGTTTGTGGGCGTCAACAGTGCCCACGAAAAAAGGCCCGTTGGAAACCGGCGTTCCGATGGGATTCGATCAAAAACGAATAGAACAATGATAGTTTGGCCAAGGCTTGTTAAAGCTAGCGTTTCCAATGGGGAAAGGGGTTTTGCAAGGTCTGTGCCGGGACAGGGGTCGTGGCGAGCGTTTTGATTGGGAATAGCTGTCAAACGCAAACATTGCAAGGACTTTGGCGTATGGGTGTATGTTAAATAACCAAAGGGTATAATGGATGTAAAGAAGGTAAGGGTATGTACGGGTTGAGTATGTTGAGTCAATGTTGAGTGGTCATATATTTGGCATGGTTTTATTCGAAAGTCATAATGAGTGAAGCAACCGAAGATATCCCATGCTTCAATTGTGGCAATGAACATTCGTTAAGAAAATTCATTTGAAAATGGCCATTTATAGTTGATTTACAGTACCCATTGAAAATGGTGATTTTCCATAGCTATGTTAGTTTCCCAGAGGGTATATCCCATTAATATCCCATTGAATCACTATAAGATCCCATTATATCACTATAAACTACCAGAGGGTAAGTGAAAATCATCATAAATCACCATCATTAACCATCATTAACCATCATGAATCACCATTAATCACCATTAATTACGAGTACCTGGGGGGCCTCCATGGGGTCTTCCAAGGAACGGCGCGCACCCGCTGCGGCTGCTGCAGACGCTCTCGGCTGCCCACAATACCTGCAGTTGGCCCTCAGGCAGTGCGGCGGTGCGGTGCTGTGAGGGGACGGTACCAGTGAGTGAGGCAAGCTATGGATGTCACAACCGAAAGATGCTGGGCTAAAAAGGAGGAGAAGCTGAGGCACCAATAAAAAATGTGGAATATGTGATATGTAAACCACGGGAATGGGATTTAAATTGGGATTTAACTGATTTAAGCCATGAATCAATAGAAATTAAGCAGCCCAAAAATGCTTTGCTTTGGTTTCTAAACTGAAGACTGAAGCTTTGCTTGTTAAGAGTTGAGATTGTTTATCATTTCGGTTGGGTTGAGTTAGTGATCTTCCGACTGGTGCAAATGTTGGGTTACACGATGTAAGTGGGTAGGTTGACTGGTGCATGATTACATATTACTTTGTTTAGCCAACAAACATTGGAATGTGTAATGTGTGGCATAAAGATGGGCAGTGTTCTCCGTGTGTTCACAAGGTGATGTTTAAATGGAGCATCCATCGCATCGCAAGCTGTTTTTAGGCAATCAAACGGATCATTTCCAGTTATGAGTTTGTTTGTAAATGTTTTTAAACCCGTATATAATATATATATATAGATGTACCTACTCTATACATCGTAGTTAATGGAGCTATGTGTTTGGTCTTTGCACTGAGGACCTTTGAAGAAGCGGTCAGCATTTGCGAGGCGCCTCGCCGCCTTGGCTTGGAAAAACGCTGTGGGAGTCACGTTTTTGTTCCAGGTATATACATGTTTATTGTATATGAATGAACGGGCATTTGTTTGCTATACTATGTATGTGTGTGTATGCATACGCATAATATAGATAGATGGATGGATGGATGGATGGATGGATGGATAGATACATAGATAGATAGATAGATAGATAGATAGATAGATAGACAGATAGATAGATAGATAGATAGATAGATAATCAATGATATATATATATATATATTCTATACATGGCAATGATGGAGTAGTCAAAAGATATGAAGTTAGAACAATCCCAGGTTCCAATGGTAAATGACCAAGGTTCCGAAATCGGCACATTTTTTTACAGCTGGAACGCCTGTTTCATTTGTCAACATGTGCCCAAAAGTCATCAACCCAGCAGCTTCAGCTTATCATATTTGCCATGGTCAACATTTATATATCCAAAAGTCTAGGTAAATTATAACGACCTCACTGTCCTCCCGAACCCTGGAATCATGGTTTATGTTAGGGAAATCATCCCCAAATGACGTGACATATTGTAATTTACCCAGATAAGTTTCGATGTCATCCCCATATTGGGATTCATTGTGCCCACCGGATTCCCCTTTCTGGGATGGATGACCCGTATCCCAATCGCTGCAGGAGCATGGCCTGACACTCTGCTCTGCAGAACATGTTTTCAGCTGCCCGGAGTGCAAAAGCTGTGCGGCTTCTTGGCGATTCAGAGCGCCCAGTGTGTTGGCTCCCATGGAATTCTATAAGTGGCTGATTATCCCAGTTTTGGGCTAAGATTAGCCTATTATAGGCTGTTTATATGTGGGGTGAACTAAGCCACTTACGATTGTTGATGGTTCATGTTTTGTACAATAACCTGGGTTTTTGTGGGCTGAAAAGCATTGTAACATGTTTACATATGTCCATTTCTTTCGCAATATTGGAACATGTCCATGGATGTGATGTTTTGTTGCGGGTCACCGTTGTAACGCATTATTGACAATCCATGGGTTCTGACTTCCAGGGTCGTCCAAGAAATGCCCGCCCCGTCCATCCAGCCCGACGCAAGGGCCCCTGGCTCTACAGTACCCTTATATATATATATATATATGTAACCCATTTACTAGCTATCAAGTCTAACTTCCACTTTGAATGATGAGAACATTGGGATTGAACAAACCAAAGATTGGAAATTGCTAACCGTAAATTTCAACTCCCACGGCTTAAACACAACCTTAGGTTTGGGGCTTATCAACCCCCATCAGCCGCTATCAATGGGTTTATGAAGCTTCCATTCTCAGGAATGGTTGCAAGGAACATCTGCAAGGAACATCCCTAGAATAATCCCCAATGAAATCCCCCCAAATCAGCACGGTTCCTTGAGATATCCTCCGATTTATAACAACCCACAAAAAGATAGAAAACTTGGTAGCTTCCTACCAAAGTCATGAGAAAATACTTGTCTATTTGTTTAGACGATGCATATATATATAATATATATATATATATTACAATTACATATATATATATACATGCACTCTGGTAATTTAACCAATGGCTATTGAAAATGGTCCATTTATAGTGGATTTACCCATCAATAGCATGGTGATTTTCCATAGTTATGTCCTCTCAGGAGGATGGCGAGCACCAGCAGCTGTGGACCTCCTCAAACTGCTCCTCCACAGAGCAGTTGACGCAGCGGCGCCTGAATCTGCGCAACGACCGCGCGGCCGTGTTCAGCTGGGGGGCCCGAGCACGCGAAGGACGTGATGTCATGGGATAGATATTTGGGCACGCTTGGGGTTCGGTACCCTCTGGTAAACATACAAAAAGCTATTGAAAATGGCCCAGTCTAAATAGTTGATTTACCCATTAATAGCATGGTGATTTTCCGCAGTTTTTTGTATGTTTACCACAGGGTATTTGATTTTTCTTCATGGATTCCATTCCATGGATCAATATTTCACTCGGCTGGGTTGATTTCACTCGGCTGCGGTGGATATCTCCTGTGCACCCGTGGCAGACAGGAGCAAACGTTTGTGGATGGTTTACCCTCTGGTAAACTGTCACATAACTATGGAAAATCACCATTTTCAATGGGTAAATCCACTATAAATGGGCATTTTCAATAGCTATGTTAGTTTACCAGAGGGTATATCTACAGATGGCGTTTGACATCTACAAACCAACTCTGAACTGCAAGGAGCGAGGCCCCAGTTATGTGTGGTTTATAAATTCATCAAGGTATGGATCATCTACCATAAAGCCTACCTTCTTACAAATGAACTTCGCTAAGGATTGGGGGCACATTGGGTCAAGGTCAAGTTTTTGGGGCGACCTTTTCCAGTCTCAGCAAGCTTGGAAAGTCACCTCAAGACGGCTGAGATTGAGCCCCCTACCGGACTACGCAAGTTTTCTCAACCACAGCGAATGTTCAAACTATAATTTCGCACTTGTATCATCACTGCCAACCAGTATCAACCAACATGAGTATCAACCAATATCCATCAGCATCAACCATTTTCATTCATTTTCAACATCAATCAGAAGCAACTATACAGCACTTTCACAACAACCATCAAAAAACAATAGAAACCATTTGTTTAAAAAAGAACGATACGTACATAAACACAGAAACAAACACGAGTACAATTATAAACATATTTTTAAAACATAGAAACGCAAAAAAAAAAACTACCATATAAGGTCATATAAGAGCCATATTAATCAGACATATATTTTCAGAATAGAAACCCTAAGGCGAGCTCTGCAGCTACGAGTCGGGGCTGGGTGGCTTGCACGGCGAGGAGCCGCGCGCCACGGTGCTGGTGAAACTCATGGTGCTTCGGTGATGGGGAAAGGCTGGGAAAATGTGTGGGAAAATGTGGAGTAGAGGGAAATTAGATGGAATTTATGGGAAATATCTGAGATTTATAGAAAGAATACTGGCCATATATGGAAATTATATGGGAAATTAGATGGGATTTATATGGGATGTATCCCGATGATGGTGGGATATCACGGAAATGATGAGAACATGTTAAGACATGATATGTGGATTATATAGGATTTAAAGTGGGGGGTTAAACCATCGATGGGAAAGCCACCACTGTAGTTATCCACTGGAACATCCTGGAGATAAATTCATGTTTCAACACCCAATGTTTATCCACTGCAGTAGGATCATCGTGGGGCGAAATGTCCATATGTCCATATATTTTCCATATATTTTCCATATTTTCCCATCAAATGATGATGTTCCAGAATTGCAGTCATCAAATGATGACAATTTCATTAGGAAAATGCGGGAAATCGTAAGGGGAAAACATGGGCACTGACAATCATCATGTTCCAGACTGTTTACCCTCTGGTAAACTAACATAGTTATGGAAAATCACCATTTTTAATGGGAAAATCCACTACTATAAATGACCATTTTCAATAGCTATGTTGGTTTACCAGAGGGTAAGGGGAACATATTCGAGAACGATGATGGAATGATGATTATTTGAATCATATTTTCCCATATGTTCCCCATGATTTTCGGTACCACCGGGGCTTGGACCCAGGAATGGAACTACAATGACATTGCCAAAGAATGCCCCTTGACGCCAGAGGAGAGCAGTTGTGGTTCGGTGGTGGCCCCTCACAGTGATGTTTGGTACGTCCTGGAATTTCAGTGGGGTATGTTCAGCTTTGGTTTGTTTAGAGATGTTTGGTTGGTTGTAATCCCCCAAAGCTGAACGTCCACGCTGGAGAAGTTGTGGAAGTTTTGTCCCAGGGTCTGATCCGGCACCCAAGGTACGGAATATTTGGCACCCAATGACTTCGAGGCCCGGAATGGATCGCCGGATATCGGATAGTTGCCATGGAGCTTTCTATCGGTTTCTGATGTTTGTCTTGCTGATTCCTTGGGATAATGATAGGTCAACCAAAAAACCAATGTCAACTCACATCGTAAGTAATTCGCCCTAGCCTAATGTACCCCTAGCGGTTTGACAAGTTGCAGCAGTTAGTCCTCGAGTTTTCCTCAACATGAGGCCGTGCAAGTGTCCCCTGTGACGGAGCACATCATCGGATATCAGTGGTGGGTGTCTTGTCCAGCACTACGACCTCTGGGCCATGGGCATCCATGGGCCATGGGGTTTACCAGCTGGTTACGCTAGAGTCAGGGCTTATACCTGGTTTTCTATTGGCAAACGTCTCTCATTTTTGCGGCTGAGAATCCCTCAAAACCCATAAAATCGACATTTTGTTGGTTCCGATGAGGTATCTAGATCTGGCTTAAATCCTCATTGCCAGTGACATCCCAACATTTTTATAAATTCCATGGTGTTCTCCTTGGTGAAATCTTTGGCGTTGCTCCGGCTCAATTCATCTCCTAAATCCCAAGCATTTTTGAAGGTTTTTTTGCATTTTAGCCGGTTTAAGTATGTTCTTTCTTCCTAGACATTCCTAGACCCTCCAAATGCTGATACTGTACCCCCAAGAAAATGGCAAAAGTACTAATGGGCGGGGTACAAACGGAAGGTCTAGTTTGATTCTAAACCCTTAAAAACAATTAAAATTTAAAATTCACAGAGACCTGGGAAATTCCCATGAATTTCCCATAATATAATTTCCCAATATTTCCCATAAATCTGAAAAAACAGCTACCGATTATTTCGAGCTCAGGTGAAGTATCAGCCCGTCTCAGCCGGTCTCGATTCGCGCAGCGGCACCGAAGCGGAGTTCCGTCAGATGGTGGCGACGTGTCGGGCGGCAGGCGATGGAGTTCCCCGTTTCCCCCGGGCCCCCGAAATCGCTCAGTTGGTTCAAAACTCCAAGAACTATGTTTTATGATAGTAAGCATGAGGTTTATAAACCAACTTAGCTATCATTTGGAGGCCAACTTATAACATCTTATAGCTATTTGGTAGATATATCTTATAGTTATTGTGGTTTACAAGCCAACAAACATAACTGGCTGGAGGCACCAACATATCCCTAGATGTTGTTGCAGAAAGCAAAAATGGAATTCTTCCAACATGTCTTGGCATCCTGCGAGGAATCCAAGTCGTCGTGGATATCCTCATGAATCACATGGCCGGACCCTGCAAAAAGGCCCAGCAGATGACGAAGAGAGGCAAAGCTGAAGGACAGCTTTCGAAGATGATAATGACTCAAGGGGGGATCACCCAAATTCTTTGTTTTTTAGTCGTTTTAGTATGGGTGATTTAGGGGTACCCCATTTTAGGAAACCCAAGAAATAATTAGAGGCGTTGAAACCACCAAAGACTTGTCTTTCCATAGAAATCAGAGTTGCTGCTGCTTGAGAAAGTTTCCATGCTCCTCCATTTTAGTCCACAGCCTCCTTCCAAGAAGGATTTCAATGGATTTCATCTATCTCAGATGATGCATGGTTCCACCTCTTTGTTCCCATAGAAATTGTTGGTTGGTTACTGTATCCCATTCTGGTTGGTTGACACTAAACTTCAGTGAAACCAGGAGCATAGCAACATGATTCTCTCCAGGAACTGGAAGCGATATGGTAACAACCTGACGGCCCTCCAAATACCCCCAAGGAATGGTAAAAGTATTGCGATTATGGGGTAAAACACCATTTTTAGGGCTACCGGGCTACTTGGAGGGTCTAACAGTCTAGGAAGATATCTCCAATCAGGTGTTCGGACTGCAAAACTCATGCGTTTTCAGTAAACTATTTGGAGCTGCAGGAAAATTGTTTATCAAAAAAACATCGATCGATGGTCGCAAAATATGCCAATTGTAGCCGCCAAAAAAACATATAGAAACCTGTGTTTTTTCCATGTTTTTCCTTTGTTTTTGTGGAGCATTGTCACCCCAGGAGAGGATGAGATGCCGTGCACCGGCTGGGGCGGCAGCAAATTTGGAGACCGCGGCTTTTTTAGAAAACGGGGAGGGGTAAACCTTGGATGGATACTGTACAGTTATGGCCATGGCTATTAGTTACAACTGCGTGGTTATATATTTCTATGGGATGATACATTCCATGAATGGGGTTATAAGTTCGGTTATAAGTGATTATAACTGGTAAAGGGCCATAACTCTAGCTATCCAGTGATGGAGCGATTCGGAGCTAGGGGTATCTATATTCCTACTAAATGGGGAGCCAAGGAGCTAGCAAGAGTTCCCCAAGCACATGCTTGGTAATTACCTGCTTCCGGCTTTGAATGAGAAAATTGACTCCCCAACCATTTTGTGCAGGGTATCTAAGATTGGCCATGATAGATAGAAAGTATTGGCAACATTTGTTGTGTCAAATAGTGTCAAACAGTTTTTGTTGAGGTGCTCAACTTATTTGAGACAGTCGTTGATTTTCGGGGGTGGATAGACAAACATCAATTACTTGAGATGGTGATGAAATAGTGGTTTTTCTTGGAAGATTGTGATTTTTTAGTTTATAGAAGACATGAAGGCCCCGAACATATGGTTTCAAGTGCTTGCATTTCCCTTTAGGTTGGTGGGTCTCAAGAACTGGGGGCATGTACCAACGGTATTGCAAATTGAAGCTCGTAGTATGGGAGTTTTCACCAAGAAACCAGCTGGGCTCAGTTATATTATGACTGGAACATGTTGAACATATCTTGCTCCCCAAGTGAAATGGTGATGTTAAACCGTGTTTGAATCAATGCCAGAGGAAATGGACAATGCTTTATGGATTCTCATGACAAAACATCCTTGAGGCAAGCAGAAAGGTGCTCGAGGTTGGGATGCGTCTCGACCAGAAACTCGGCACAGCAAAGTTTGATGGGCTGCAACGCGGGCAATACTATATAGCTGAACCCTTAGGAGGTAGTACCCCATAGTTCGCTAGGTTGGTTTGTAACTGGGATGACTGGGGTTTATGGTGACGATAAATCCACTTTTAACTGAGAGGCACCACGTGGTATCGACCAGCATAGAAGGTGGTGATATAGGGGTTTGTGGGAAACCAAGCTTCAGGTTTTGATCTATAGCCTGATCCCCTTATCGGTGTAAGGATGAATGAAGGCAATTGGGACAAACATTCTTGGAGTCAACAACTTCATTTGGAATATGTAGGAATCTTTTACAAGCACGCACACACACACACATTGACTCGAGAAGCACAGGTATCATGCCCGTTTCGTTGCAAAAAACTCTCAGAAACTCTTTGTTTTTGGAATCCTCATTGGGCTTGTTTAACATTGTTATCCTTGTTGACCCAAAAAGTGTACTTTTCAAAAGCTTTTTCGCGGCAGGCCCCTTGTTGCAATTGGGATCCCGAGGGTCAGTGTTGGTTTTTATCATCCCAGGGAACCCTCATAAAAAAAAAAAAAAAACACTGCATGTCCTCATCATTTGTTGATCATTTTATAGTCATTAGTCATTACAGTATCACTATGATTAGTACAATTAGCATTGCAATATCCTTTCTTGGGGGGCTATGATCAGCCCTAGTTTTGGGGACTGTTTGTGCCGCTCATGTCTGGTAAAATTGGACGTAGTTTTCAAACAGTTTTAAGAAACCGGTTATAGCAACAGCTAACTAACCAGTTTGAAGAAGGGCTTATATAATCTGATTTTTCAGTGAAGTATCCCGATGGTTTGGTTCTCTCCCAACGGACAACGGATAGCCTCAGATTCAGGAGCACTTTCATCACAAAGCTGACAACGTCATGGAGCCTTTCTGTCCCCTGAACCGCGCTCAGGGAGGAGTCAGGGGACCTTATATAAATTTCATTAAATATCCCTAACCTTGGATGGAGAGTTTAATGCTATAGTTCTTTGCTATATTGTAAATGGAAAATAAGTATTCAAAACACTAAGTTTTGGTGGACTATCAAAGATTGACCATGTAAATCAATGATCATAAGCCACCGCTTTGCGTCACCGAGAGTCAACGACCAGTCAATCAACCCACAGAGTAAACGATTAGCTTATCCAGGACGAACATAGCACAAGAAATGTGGTGGATTGGGCTGCCACACGCTTGGGCAGTTGCTTTAGTAGAGCGCAAAGATTGGCAAAACAGGGGATCAGCAAACCCATAACTTAAGACCCTTTAGTGGATATGTGGTGTACATTATCCCGCAAGACCTGGATCCAATTATGGCTGCGACCTTGCCCCCTTAATCCCATCACCATTCAACGTCCCTGCTGGTTCTACTCCTAAAAGAGTTGCTGAAATCTCCGACTTTTAACCAAGGGAAAGGGTCGGATTGAGTTGTTTGCTGATCATTAAACCATTATCACACCGATGCTTTAAACTCAATATCTGTCCGAAGTGGTTCATCCCACTTAGCAACTCCAGTTCCATTTAACATCTTTTAACCCTACATATCCCACTTACAACCAGGCATATAGTCTACTTTATAGTAAATGTGTTTTTTTTCCACCAACCAGCCCTTCCCTTGCCTCCCAGGCAAAGTAGGCCCCCAGACGGGCTGGTTATGTCCCAATGATGACTGCACGCCTTGTGACATGTACAAATTGCCGGACTACAACACGGAGTCTCGGCATCGCGTTTGCGTCGCGGATCGTCGCGATTGGGGCATTTAACTGGATTGCGGGCTGGAGGTCACACGGATTTGCGGTAAGGGATGTTAAGGGTGGTTAAGGTATGTTAAGGTATGTTAAAGTCCCCTTATGTCCCCTTTCTTTTGTGGCTTATCCCCTTTTTTTCAACATGAGTAGCATGTTATACCCAACTGGCCCCAGCAATCAGTTGCAGTGGGACGATCCTTCAAGTACACGATGGCCCAGGAGCTCGAAGAAGTGCGGACGATGCAGTTCAAACATTTGGAGGACAGCCCAGCCCGAGAAAAAAAACTCTGTAAAGCTGGGCAGATGGTATGATTACATATAATTATATACAGGTGCTTAAACAGTATCTTGTTGTGCAACTTAAGTATCAGTTCTTCCTGGCAACTGGGCAGATGAGCGGCCAACACTTTCCTGCAAGGTATTTGGGATTGGCCATGGTGCGACAGTGCTTTGCTGCGCAAAGTTCTCGGGACAATCAATCAGTTTTAGGGTGATCCACCCTACAGTTATGGCCCGAAATACCACTTATAAGTACCAACAATGTATAATCCATGATAATCCCATAGAAATAACCAGCTATAGCCAATAATTGCCACAACTGTAGATTTACTACAACCATACTACAATCTATGTCACACAGTCGATATGAATCAACTGGCACACTCCTCAATTTGGGGTTGATTGAAAATAGGATGCCCCAAAATCGATCATCCCATCAAAAACATTTTGGTGGCGTAGTGCCCGATTGAAGTGGCAGAATGTATGCAACAGGAGTTGTTCCACATCGGTGTCACCGGGCTGCGTGTTGATGCTGCCATCTATCACCACGTCTACGAACTGGCAGCTACTGGGCTTCCGAAGAGGTGGTACTCCAAGGGGGGGCCGTGGCACAACATGTTGGCACCGTGACATTGACATGATGCGTATTGACGTATTGATCATGTTGGGAGATGGCCACAGCACCATCCATAAGTAGGGTTGATATAAACCCATTATGTTTGGAATCTCCAATGATGGTGGGATGATTATGCCACAGCTGATATCGAATTTGTTGACCATGGCACATGGAATTGTTGGCAAATAACATCAAATTACAGAAACTTCACTGGCATACCTGCCTGTTAATGCCTGTTACAAGTTATCTCAACTTGGAACAAAAAAGCACAAGACAAGTTCTGTTTTCCCTTTCCAGATTGCTTGAGCGGCAAGGGGGAGATTGTGACATCAGTTGGTGGCTGGATCCCTGCCAAAATGCACCCTGTTATACCCTCATATCTGGGTAAATTATAACGACCTCACTGCGACCTCACTGGAACAATGGTTAGTAAGGGGAAATTATCCTAATATAGCCTTATTTATCCTTATTTCAGATTAGTCAATTATTTTATTTTATTTGATTTTACCCAGGTGTATATCATTGTATATCCTGTTATCACCTGTTCTTGAGAGAACAGCATGGAATTCTGGTGTGACTTCAAGCTCACCTTCCTGTATCCTGGGTATGGGGAAGGTCACATGGTTTGGTTGATACCATCAAACCGCCCTATCAATCCTATAGGTCATAAGTCCTAATTATCAGGAATAAGCTTTATCTAAAGACCTATAAAAACCAAGCAACAAAAGACCTGAATCAGGACCATATAGTAGCCTTAAAACTGTATATGTTTTTGAATATTTGTGCCAGCAAGAGTATCCAGAGTAAAACCCAAATTGTTGCACATTTTTGGGGGGATTCAAAACTTTGCTATAGCAGAAAAAAATAGGAATTGTTGAAAATTTTGGTGCCTCTGTCCACACTCTAGATAGGTCGTTCCACGCTCTAGATAGGTCGTTCCAGGGTTTGTCCACGGTCAGGTCTGAAATTGTGCATAAATTGTACATCAAAATATGTTGTTATTCTTGATTGTTTCTCTTTAAGAAGTTGTAAACATAGTTAACAAAATGATACAGTATGTCTCTTGGCTGTGCACATTTTGAACCCCTGCAGCACCCCTGGTTAGGTCCCAGGATTCTCATGTAGGTCTCCAGAAACTTATTCACAATATAGCTATGGCCCGAAATACCAGTCATTAGTACTAACAAAATCCCATTTATACAATGTATAATCACTTAGAAATCACTAGTTATAACTAATAGCCATGGCCACAACTGTATTTTCCCATGATTTCTCATGGTTTTCCTATTAAATCAGCATTTTCCTATGTTTTTTTCTCCATGGTTTACCCAGCACAGGGCCGTCACATTTTTCACCGCGTTTTGTTGAGGATATGCTGAATCGAGTCCCCTGGGATTTGGTCTACCAAGAATGGTGGGGCGAATATCCGCCGCAGGTCCGGGATGCTGATGGAGTGTTGCTAGCGCGAGTTGACCAAAGTTCATAGAGTATCCACAGATCCACCTTCAAAGTCATGGTTCTATATGGTCCTCCATGTTATCCTCCATGTTATATATATATAATATATATATATAGTATATATATATATCTAAGAATATACGTATATATATATATATTTAGATTTAATATTATATAATTATATGTGTATATATATATATAGACATGTGTATGTGGTTCAAAAGCAGGCGTCGTGTTCTGTCACTTCCTCTTGAGAAGAAAGCGCTGCGATGGTAGAAACGGTCCAGGATCGCACTGACTTTGTGGGCCTGTATCGACCCTGGACTGCACGAACAGATGGGCCAAGACCCATCCAAGACCTACAGAAAAATGACCCAAAATACCAGGTATAAGTACTTACAGCTCCATTTATAGATTGTATAATCCCGTTGAGACTAATAAACGGCCATAAATGTACCTACCTATACATTTTGCAACCTATGAGATCTATGAAGCCCTTTTAGTCGGCTTCACCCTGTTAGTTTAGCAAAACTTGGATCAACTGAAAAAGGTCCAAGGGACCATTCCTTCGTCCTCCAGTGGCTAGTAGAGGGTGCTACGGCAATGCAACGGGCATGACTGATCCAGGAGGTTCACTAAGTACCCTCTGGTAATTTAACATAACTATAGAAAATCACCATGTTATTTCATGGGTAAATCAACTATTTCTACGTTTATTTTCCATAGTTTTTTGTATGTCTACCAGAGGGTAAATCAACAATTCCCAATCAAAGTCGGGTTGAAACAGGGGTATTAACCACAATTAACCACAATTAACAACTATTAACCACTATTAACCACTATTAACCTTTCACTAAGCTAGATCGGGTTCACTGATTTGCCCTAAGATGCACAAGCCCCTGCTGTGACTAGCTCAGATACCTGAGGTGACGTGGCATATCGCTGGCATGTGGTCAATCGAGCCTTGGACCAACAAAAAGACACCCTATGAGGAGCAATAAACTTGAGAAACATACACCAAGGATCACCAAGGGTATGCAAGAGTAGAATGATGTTGATGTTTGATAGAATGTATCACATCTTATCACATCTTATCACATCTTATCACATCTTATCAGGAGTTAGCATCTGATGAACTAGAGGTGTTCATCATACCGAAATCACATGTTGATCCTCCTAAACGAGCGTTTCAACTTTCAACCATAGACTTTCCCTTCAATCCATTTTATTCATTGGTACATCCCATCATCCCTTTCCAGTTTTCTTTTCCATCTTTTTTTCCCATATTGTTTCATGGAATCGAGAGTGGGGGTCTGGGGGGGAGGGTCTCAGCTTATCATTTAAGCTCCTGATGCTGGGACATGATAAATAATTCATCAATTCTATTTATAAAAATCATTCTGGTGAATCTAAAAAAAGGACCATTTTCATCCATTTTCCAGGTCTTGTTCAGGTTTCCCCTCTCCAAAAACCATGATTGGTTCCCGAGTCCAGCAGTTTCCCATCGTTCAAACCCCGCCTTGGTCCAGGCCTCGCCGGGAAGAACGCTACAGAGCTACCGGAGCTGCTGAATCTCACGGGGGGCGTCTTTGGCATCAGCGAGGACATGGCCGTGTGACCTATAGCGACAGGAGATGGTTTTCTTGGGGAAACACATGAGATAGTATATACATAATATACATATGTGTGTGATATAATATATATATATATGTAGATTATATTATACAGTATATATATAATATGTAATATTGTAATATTGTAATATATTATATACATTTGCACCTTCCTTTTTAATTTTGGAGTAGAACAACGTGCTGGCAGATGTTGGCCGACCCAGAGTTTGGTGTTCCAACGGTAAAAGGAAACCTTGGGATGGATCCATTTGCAAGCACCAACCAGGTGATGATGGGCCATCTATGAATCACACATGGACATATAGTGTAGATTAATGATGATTAATGTACTGTAGATTAATGATGATTAATGTAGATTATAGTCAAGTATAGTAGATTATAGATCCCATTGCAAACAAGACTTTTTGTGGGCGATCCAAGCTTAATCCCGTCTCCACCGTTGTTGGACCTTTGGTGAAGGTACCCCTTCGCTTACCACGACGGGCGCAGCCGAAAAGCAAATCCAGAGATCGCGACCTACAAAAATGGCCTGGTGTCTTGCAGGATACCAGCCGACCAAACCGACCCCCCAAGGTTAGTGCAATGTGGAGCCCCCCAGTTATAAGTTGGTTTATAAACCCCATTAACTATAGTTATAAGTACCATAAATCATAGTTATTGGAGTTATAAACCAACATAGCTATCTTGGGGGCCCCACATTGAGGGTTTCAATGTATTTCTTGGTATTTATCCACAATTTTAAGTGTAGTTTATGGTAATGTAATATGTTGATGTTGCTAAGTTAATGATCAACGATTGGATTTGAAAGATGGAGGCTTATGCCTATGATCCAACACTACGGATGTTTTTTTGATGTATTATATGACGTGTAAACTGGCTTATCCATACCCATAGGATCCATGTATGCTATATATGGTAACATTTACCATCAATATACCCCAAATGTTAGCATATATACCATACATGGATCCTATGGGATATGTTTGTCCTTCCCATTTATATGTCTACACAATTCACCCCCAGGCCTGGCCGCCATGCGCTGTGAATCTCCCGAGGCCTACCACCAGCAGCAGAAGTTCTTCCTGTCCTGGATTGTAGGAGGGGCGTTTATGACACCACAGATGGGTCACGCCACCGAAGGCTTCCAGATGGAACTAGGACGGAAGCCCAAGACTATGAGTGATGTAAACTAGCAGCACAGTTATGGAACATCCCCATTCACTAGTTCGATGTACCTACCATAAAGCCATACAAAACCTATAGTTTTTGGACTTACCAGCTTAGCAATTCCCAACTGGGGCACCACTGGGCAGCACCTTATAGCACCTATAGCATCCCCTTGCAGATATAACTTTATGGCTTGACTCATATCCTGATCTGACTACATCCCCATTGTAGGTGGTTAAATCCCTATTGCCCTCTGGTAATTCTTCAAATAACTAATGGGTTGTAGTCCATTACCCATGACGGATCCATGGTGCTGCTATATATGGTGACATGGATTCCATCAATATACCCCAGTCATGTTAGCATATATACCAGCACCATGGATCCTATGGGTTATATTATATTCCCATTAAACCCTGGATTAAAAAAATGTTTTTAGTCCCCATTCCCCCAGTCTTGAGCGAAATTGCAATTTTTCATAGCTTCCTATGGTGAAATCATATACCTCCTTCAATCTTCGTGCAAAATCTGGTGAACCCAGATGGTTAAATCCATTCTATCCCATTCTATTCCCATGAAACCCCATTAAAAATGATGGAATCCCCATCCCAATCTTTCACCCTTAGCTTCCTCCCGTCAGGAAGCTCGGTCCTGGTCTGGGGCGGCTACGGCTGGCGCGACTTGAGCCACGGCCCCCCTGGCTGTGACAAGTCCGATGGCAATCATTGCACGCCCAAAGCGGTGCCTCGGCTTATCGAAGCCGAGAGTTGGACCACCAAAAATCGACCCTGGTTGATTGGTTCATAAAATACATGAAGAAATATATATACATTAATTATGTATAATGTGGATGCTTATACTACCAATTGTTTTATTTTATGGCTCACTTGAGATGGTTGGGGGTCATGAGCATAAGCAAAAACTGGCTAACCCTTGTGAAGCCGCAGTTGGGACCCCAGTTCCATCAACCTAATGATATTAAAAACCCAAAGGTACGTTCAGAATTGTACTTTTTGATGAATTATTAGTTGGTTTCGAGAACCCATGATAGTTTTATAATTTTTAATGTGGATACATTCAAGTTATTTACATATATATATATAACATATATCTACCATTAAACATCTATGGTCAATCATCCATGGGCCCCAGGGGTGGCCCAGCTTCAAGAGGTCTACGATGAGACTGGCGCGGCACAGTGTATGCAGACGCCCACGGAGTCGCCGATGCCCCGTAGCTTGGTCCTTTGGTGCTGATCCAACGGTTAAACCGTGGCCTAAACCATGGTGAAAACCATGGTTAAATGATATCTATTTGACATGCAAGTTCATGTGCAATAATTTCAAAATGAAAGTTTCATATCTATATGAATTCGATTCGGTCTACAATAGATATTAATTGAGCTAGTGGGTTTATAAATTAAGCAATAAAACATATCTTGGGGCGGCCTCACGTTGTGCTTTGCTTAAGTGTTGATTCGGGATTCTGATCGCCAACGATATGTCTGGGACGGGTTGAAGCAACCAGACGTTGGGCTGAGTTGATGGTTGATGTCCTGCACACTATCCGCATGAATTAAATCTCAACCAGTTGATATTTTGGAACACTTCGAGATACCTGGGACCTAGACCCTCCGAGTACCTATGTGAGAATGGGTAAACGATTGTCAAAATTCTGATATGATGAGATGAAATCGCGATATTTTTTTGGTACTTGGAGGGTCCGCCGGCACGAAGTGGGGCCCTCTAGCCGCTCTAGCCAAGCTAGTTTACAACTCCAATAACTATGATTTATGATACTTATTATAACATCTTATAACTTATATGTATAACTATATATGGTTAATGGGTGTTAATGATACCTATAGCATATGGTTAATGGGTGTTTATAGCCCAAACAGTAGTCGCAAAACACCCAGCTGACCATCTTTCTCCACGTCGCTGCGAGGTGTCCAGGCCCGGCAACGGCGCTGGATTTGCGAGCATCGATGGCAAGGTGTGGCTGGGATGATTCACTTTCGAAGCTTGGCTCAGCAACCAAACTTGGGTATTATGGCGACATTTGTAGCATGGTGATTTTCTATAGCAAACTGTTAGTTTACCAGAGGGTAATGAATGATTGGTGGTTTTGAACATTTTTTCCCCATATATTGGGAATAGATTTTCCCCAACTGACGAACTCCATGTTTATCAGAGGGATTGAAACCACCAACCAGAAGAGAACCAATTAAGAAACATTAAGAAACTGGTTCAGTGACTCGACAGGAGTCACTTAAAACAATCATAGATGCCATTTAGACATCATTTAGATGATTAAATATCCCAATGTTTCACCCCCAACCTTGGATGGGTAGGTAATGCTGTCGTTTTTTTCCCTATAAAAAGGCAAAAACATAACCAGCAAAAGATCACCTTTGTTTTTCTGGACTCTCAAAGGTTGACCGTGGTTTGTTGGTTTGGCTTTTTGATGTTGATCCCAAATGGGATCCTCCCCTGCCTTCGCCAGGAAAGGCTTGTCGAGGCAAGGCGGTAACACAGATGCTTGGCTTCGCTCCTCCGTCTGAAGGAAAATCATGCCACCCATTTGGTAAATACAAGTTGCACAAATGTCACACGTCTACTGTATATGTATATATACATATATATGGTTATATATAATCATAGATAATCATATATATATAACCAGATTTATGATAAACTTCTATAATCAATAACCAGATTTATATGCATCTATAATCACATTTATACATACTATAGTATATATTATATATATATACATCTATATTACATCTCAATCGACACAACCAAAAATCTCCCAGGCTCCGTGAAAAATCCCAGGACCTGGAGCAGTGGCTCCGTCCACCCGCTGCCGCTGGGCCGTCTGGCCTTCCAGCTGGGCGCCGACTGCTTCGTGGCGCTGGTGCGTGGCCGGCGGAAGGATCAGGGCAGCGAGGCACGGGGCTGGTGGGTTCCAGGGGTTCCAGGGAGGGGGTGGATGGAAGTGGGGGATGTGGATATGGCAGATATGGGTTATATATCAAGTTACTAAGTTATATTAGATTATATGGTAAAATTATAGTTATAGAATGCTATAAGTTTATTTATTATTATATATATATACAATTAACGTGGTTACCGAGATAACGTGTCACCATCCTCCACTAGGGATTTATTAATATACTACCCTTTGGAATGATGTAAAATAACCCCAGATGGTTTTTTTAGTCGGGGATGCCGCAACTCATATCGGTTATTTAAAGTCATACCAAGTTATATGATATGGGTTGTTTTAACCTATATCATGTTCTAAGCCATGATATTGCCAGTCATAAGGGGCTAGAACATGCTAGAATAGCGGGAATCATCAGTAAATATTGCTTAAGCCAGGTTAGGGAATGATATGGATGTGATAGTTCGCCCTTGTCCGACTTGTCCGACTTGTGCTTTCATAATCCCTTCCCTCAGCCACGAAAAATTATCTCCCCTAAGTTGACTAGTTTTTAGGGGGTGAAACCCTGAAATGGTAGCTTCATCATTAAATTGTTTTCTAAAGGGGATCAATTCAAATTTGCCAACCTCAAATTTCCCAAAATTGGAGACGGACCCTAGTTTTTATTATTTGGGGTGGGTTTAGTAATAGGGGGCAGGGATTAAACCAGGTTTTCTTTCGGGGTGTTATCATACGTACCATGTATGCCACGTGATGACCGCATGCGAAGTCAAGGTTTACTGTATCTCAGTTGCATTATCTGAAATATACTGATAGCTTCATGATGGTGATATCACCATTAACCGGGGACAGCCTAAGTTGTCCCTTCATCAGCACATGGACCCCAGGTGGACGTCGTAGGTGTGGGTGGCACCTGGGATCTCATTGGCTTCGGGCCCATTGCTCTGCCCGAAGGCAGTCTGTGGAGTCCCAGCCGGATGTTTTGTGGTGGTTTTTTGTTGAACGCCGGTCTTTCAAAATGTGAAAGTCATAGTTTCAATCTTTTCCCTCCGGTTATGACTAACATAGCCATGGTATAGATGGCCCATAGAAATAGATGGTTTACCTATTAAAAATGGTGATTTTCCATGGCGAACTGTTAAATAACCAGATGGTAATGAGATTGCTCATTTTCGTCGGAACGTCGGAAAGAGAGAGAGAGAGAGGGAGAGATTTTGCAGACATGGGGGATATTTTTGATCAGTATCAATCACTGGTTGGTGTTTTGGAACATGGCTTTTTTTTTCCCATTCAGTTGGGAATAGATTTTCCCCAACTGACGAACTCCATCATTTTTTCAGAGGGGTAGGTTGAAACCACCAACTGTTTCCATGGACACCACGATCCCCACTGACTCTTACTTTGGCGCTTCAAGCACCAACAAACGAAAGGAATCACTGTGAGGTTGTTGCTTTTGGGATTGTTAAAATTATATTATACTATTGTACTAATATAGTTTATATATATATATATATATTATATTTTTATCACATTATATCACTTACGGCCCACTATATACAAACCATAACTCCATTGTCTCATTTCATGAATCTCACAGTTCTTGTTAATCATCCGCTCAGAAATGGAACGCCAGGTATCTACTGCGATCTCTCTTCGCTGCCGACGCAGAAATCCTGGAAGGAGACTGATCCGTGCCCCAGGACCAGTGCGGGGCTTGGAGACAGCTATGATGGCTGGATGTTGATGTGCCGTTATGGACATGGTTATATAACTGGTGAAAAAACATTCTATAAATGGGGTTTTGTTAGTACTTATAACTGGTATATACTTGTATGGTTCTTTCAGTTTGAGATTTATATTGATTACATTGTTGGCATATTTGTTTACATTGGTAAATGTTGGAACCTCATTAATTAGATCGGAAAACACAACTTCTGGTTATCATTGCCATGGCAATGATTGGACAAGATCCCATGCAGATGATTTTCCAATTCAAAATGCACGTGTCTAATCATTTGGTTGGTGGTTTGGAACATAAATGTTATTTTTCCATATATTGGGATCCCAACTGATTAATATTTTACAGAGGTACCTACCATCAACCAGTCATTTATAGGGATTTCCCATTGGTGATGAGCCAATGATGAGCCCCTGAGCGCGAATTCGGCCAGGTCTATCACCGGCGTTTCGGCCAGTGTCAGCAGAAACCGCCATAGAATTTCTGCAGATCTGCAATTTGGACCCATACCAACGGAAATGACCATTATAGTTTATAGTCGGAACATTTTTTGTGCATAATTGCATACATATTATGTTTTGGCATGTGTACATTGTGATAATCTTGAAAAAAACATAGTATATATACATATATCTATAGATAGAACCATTTTTCTGAATGATATATACCTAATTACATGGTAGCTACACGATATTCACACGATATCTAGATGCTATTTTCATGTTATATCTACATACATGATCATAAATTATGCGAAACAACTTGGTTAGAGAATACCACCATATTTATTAGTTAAACCTCCATTTGGCTTGGTATATCCACATAAACCCCAATATGTTTCCTGAGACCCCCCTCCAATGACCATGACGACTCTCCATAAACCCATAAACCCAAGGGCTAACCGAGTTTTAAACCAACTTATCTCTCATAGATCAGCTATAAAAAAACTACAAGCAAAAAACATCCCATGGAAAATCACCAAAAACAATCCGTGTTTGTTCTTGGTAGAATCGTTTTTTTCTTGATAATTTAAATTAAATCACCATTAAATCCCATTAAATCACCATTAAATCACCATTAAATCCCATTAAATCACCATTAAATCCCATTAAATCACCATTAAATCACCATTAAATCCCATTAAATCACCATTAAATCACCATGAAATCCCATGGAAAATCACTCTAAATCACTGTAGTGAAGTCCATCATTTAACGGTTGGTGAACCTTCCGTGATTTCTTCAACGCGGCCAGGAGTGTCCAGGTGGATGCCCAGGGCATCATCCAGGAGGGCCACGTCATGGAGGGCGATCTGTTGGCCATTCACCGCGGTGCCGTGGGCCGACGTTGCGACGTTGGGGGTCGCCCCGGGGGGTCCGTTGGTGGCGTTGAACATGGGGAAAGTGATCATAGAAACATAGGAAAACCATAGGAAAACCATAGGAAAACCTAGGAAAACCATAGGGAAACCATAGGAGAACCATAGGAAAACCATAAAAACCATAGGAAACCCATAGGAAAACCATTGAAAATGGCATAGAAACCATTTGAACATGCTGATTGAACAATGATGCCAGGAAAACCAGCCAGGAAACCTCTTTGGAAAAAGGGGATATCACCATGAAACATGGTGGAGAGTTTTCGGGTCGAACTCTAATTATGACGGGATTTCGATGTGATGATGGATTTATCCGTCCAATATTGGGAATTTAAGCGAACATACAGTATATATGGGCATCATGGCTGATCTACCTGGATAATCCATTGATAATCGGTAAAAACTTGGCGATTGGCACTTCAGCCAGCTCTGACGTGCATTCCTGGGGTGGCTGGATCGTGGTATCAAACTTACCCAACTGGTCATTTCACCTGAAGAAGGCCCACGGACAGTAGATCAGATATAAATGGCCGTAGATCATCTATTACACATGTAAAAATTAGTCTAAATTACACATAGATCATCAAATTACCATCTATTACGGACAGTAGATCATCTATTACACATATAATATGTGGTTTTAATCCAAATTAATGATTTGTGTTTGATTGTAGCTACTATTCTGCACATGTTCAATCCCTTGTTTTTAGTAGATTGAGTGTACAATGGTAAATTACATGAAATTATTTAATAAACTAGAAAAAACATAATATATATAATTACATCATATATATGTATATATTACATAATTCATATAATATACTCCAATCAAATTACAATACCAGGTGTTGTTTTTTTTAAAGAAAACATGAATCCATGGCTGCAGGCGCTCGCGCTTTGGCCATCGCTGCGTGAGGTCTATGGAGTCTATGGTTGTGAAACTTCAGTGGTGGTCTAACATACAAAATGGGGAATCGCAGGAAAGTACAGGATACATGATCCCTTATAAATGGAGACTTTAATCGGAAAATCATCTATAGATTGGGTCAAATGATTCTCCTACGCTAGAATTTGTCTTGGTTGACTTTGGACTTGGAGATCGTAATTACCACTGAGTGAACTTACCAACCAATATTTCTCAACATGATTCACCAAACAAGGATTCAAATTTGGTTCTGTTTGGCCAGCTTTTGGGTTTCAGACTTTGCCAACAGCAACCAGCCAAATTCACCACTTCAATGAACCAACATTGGGATGATTAGCTAACAAACAGTTTGGCGGTTTTTGACCAGCAAATATTAGTGTCCACACTTGGACCCAGAGAAAAAATATATGATATCTGGTTGGTGGTTTCAAACATTTTCTATTTTCCAAAATATATGGGATAGTCCTTCCCAGCATTTCTCATCGTTTCTCCAAAAATGGCAATGTGATGACTCCCTTCTTCCGAAGTTTACCCAGATATATGATATGTTGGATGTTCCATGAATTTCCTCCTTCCCAGGGCGGCAGCTGAACTGAATTCCGTTTTCATGGCAGGCAGCTTCACGCTCTTTTTCCAGATTTGGCGAACACTGCCGGGGGCCGTCCAACTTTGTCAGTGTGTCAGCCATCATTTTTCGGCGGCGGCCAGTGCCATGCATCACAAAGGGGTTCATAGTGGAAAATTTGGGTCAAAGTATCTCAAACTACAAATGTTTGAGGTTGCAACATGTGAAACATGTTTCACATGTTTTTTTTGCTAGAGAGGCCCTGGCAAAACAAACATGTGAAACAAAAGCATGCTTGGTTTAACTGGTTTGGTTTGAGGGATCTTTGAGTGAAAACACGTTCTGTTTTGAAAGTGATGATAGGGTTCATGTAGATGTTCCCCGATTCGCAGGGAAATCACTTTGGGGATCTACTGTAACATCTTTGAAGTGCGACTCGTAGGGGGGTTCCATCACCATGACTGCAGCTTTGTTGAATGTGAACCGTGAGTAAGTGGCTATAAGTCGGCTAGGAACCTTTCAAACTCCACGCGGAAGAGCATGCAGGTATTGATTTTTTTAAATCTCGGTTACTACCCGGTGAATTAGGCCCATACCATATCTAAATAGTGGCACTTGTAGCTGCTTCTTGATGGATATGGTACTGGAGATATTCTTCAGGAAAACTTGGGACTTTACCTGCAAGAGCACTTCGATTTTCTGAAAATTATATTTTTTTCCTTAGGGGAAATTCACTTCTTGTGGAATCTATAATTGGGGAATATTTATATATATATAGATATAATATATATATATATGATATATATATATATATGGTATATATATATGATATATATATATATGTGTGTGTGTAACATCTAAATAGATGTAAAACTTCTTCTCTCTCTTTTTCTTCCTCTGTCCTCTCCCTTTCTAATTCTAAATTAAAGTTAATGCAGGGGGCCACCGGGGTCCCGGGGGGGTCGGTGGCCACCGAAGACACCCCCCCGGGACCCGTGTAAACGTACCTGCATTAATCGTTAATTTTATTGTTTCGTATCTAATCTGCATGTTTCAGGATTCAGTTCCTGACGGATCATATAATGATCCATTCTTGTCTAGTGTGATTTCCATGGTGGCTCCGACATGGTGCCATGGAGCCATTTGAGGCAACCCTCTTCAGGGTGAGTGTCGACAGTCTTGAATTCTGAATTCACACATTTTAACTCAGTAATTCGTTTAAGTAATGTGCAACAGCTGGCCTTTCCGTTTTGCACCTTTTGTGATGTCCCGCGTTTCCGGCTGTCCTTTATGAACCCAGTGAATGCATCTCTATTGAGTGAAGCCACTTCGAACTACCAGAAACCTCCGTTTTTTTGCAGCAACGTTTGCAGCGAAAGTGCATCAAGTCATGACATATGAATCAGGCAGGCCCACGTCTTGCAGGTGTGGTATTCTTCTTTTTGATGGTTGTCTGGTGAGGTTAAACATTTTGTGCATCTAATTCGATGGAACTTGAAAGCCGTTTTATGCCCTTGTGGCTGACTGGAACACGGGCCTGTTGTGGCACAATTGCACGAACAGTAGGTCTAGGAACTGGGTCCTGTTTTTTAATTAATTGTTTTGGTTTTGTCTGGCATCAACTAGTTCCCCATTGGTCCCTAATCTTTCCCCGCGTGCCTCTCCGTAACGTGTTGTTGGGTTTAGGTGTGTGCGCTGTTTTTGTCAGGTCCGTTTCGCCGTGTAGGTTGGTTCTGGAGGTCCGTCTGTTCCCCTCCCCCCCTGCGCTGTTTTGGCCGTCTGCCCGTCGTGTGTCCGCTTTTTTCTTCCTCTTGCCTTTCAGGGTTGACCCGGCTCCGGCCGGGTGTGTGTGTGTAACATCTAAATAGATGTAAAACTTCTTCTCTCTCTTTTTCTTCCTTTGTCCTCTCCCTTTCTAATTCTAAATTAAAGTTAATGCAGGGGGCCACCGGGGTCCCGGGGGGGTCGGTGGCCACCGAAGACACCCCCCCGGGACCCGTGTAAACGTACCTGCATAAATCTAACGATCTAGGCTGGTTTGCATGTTTCAGGATTCAGTTCCTGACGGATCATATAATGATCCATTCTTGTCTAGTGTGTGTTTTTTTTGGGGGGTTCCTTAAGAAAATCCAAGAACATTATTATTCTTCACAACCACAACGTTCGTCCAGAAACTGCGCCGACCGCCGTCTCCAAGAGAGCTGCGGAAGAGGGGAAGGAATTCAGCTGCAACTGAGCTTGCTTGCAGCTGGTTGGTGGAAAATCAAAGGTGGGACATTTACGGGACATTTTTAGAGATTTCTGGACATTTACGGAAAATAAACCTGAGATGATCACTGACCGGTTGGAGGTGGCCCTGTTGGCTACGTTTGGATAGTTTGCTGCCACCATTGGCCTCACCATGGGGTCGAAAAGGTGATTGCGGCTATAGACTCATTGACAGGGGTTTATAAACCAACTTATAAGATAGATAAGATAGAAGGTGCCACTTGGTAGAACAACCCCTCAAGTTTGGAATGCTTAGTCATATGGTAGCCCCATGCGCAAAGCATTTTTTTGGTTCATGGAAATCACAGACTTCCGATAGCTGCTTGACAACAAATTGGAACCATCACATCGCAGCAAACCGGACATAAACAAAATCATATAGACTATATCTGGTTGGTGGTTTGGAACATGTTTTATTTTCCATATATTGGGAAGAATCATCCCAACTGACCAATATTTTTCAGAGGGGTTGAAGCCACCAACCAGTATATCTATCAGTCATTTCTCATCGTTTCTCCAAAAATGGCAATGTGATAACTCCCTTCTTCCGAAGTTTTCCTGGACCTATAGAGCTTTTTGAGGGTCGGATCGACCGTTCTGACTAGTCTTATGGGCGGTGCGCGGGCAGGATGAAGTGCAACCATCTAAAAGCCCCATTGATGTGCACAGTATGTTCAATAATGCAGCTGAATGGGAACACATAGGGAATCGGATTGGATTGGAGGAGGACGTCAACCTGCTCCTCACCGAAGTGAAGTAGTTAAGACGCCGAAATTGCCAACGCAGAGCCGGAGCTCTTTGCACTGAACAAACCGGAGGGCAAGTTCAAGCCAAGAAAAGTACCACCCATGCAGCTGAAGAAGCAGCAAACGCTCATTCAAACGACCTGTTTTGACGTGGTTCGTGTTCAAGCAAAACTTGCCAGTAGGGAAGAGAACCCTTTAGTTGCGCCTTCCAAGCTTCTCCAGCCCAAACAACTGCCTCTCTGTGTTGTGACAAACAAGTAGCAATCACCTGCCGAAATTGACCTGTAAGATCAGCCGCGCTAGCATCCGCTTTGGCATTGAGCATGCGGCAACGCAAAACATCAAGCCACCCTTCGGGTGGGCGCCATCGAGGAACTTTATTATGCAAGGGAATCCAAGCACAAGAAGAGCCATCAACCAAAAGCATCCTGATATAATGCCAGTATGGAAAAAGATCTCCACCCCACTGACCAAGCCGCATGCCACGATGAAGACGTTGCACAAGAGCTTGGTTGTCAATCAGCAAGCGCACCGCTCTGTTCGCTTCATGGGAAGCCAAGCAGGCTTGAAGAAGGGAAAAAGAAGCTCCCCAGTCCTTCACTCTCCGTCTATCTTTCCGTGCTTCTTCACGCCACTTCCTTCCCGCTCCCCCCACTCCACCATACAACTCCTACTGCTTATTCCTACTAGTCCCATTGTTCTTTCGCTCCTATTCTTTACCGTCTCACCCCTCCATCCCTCTCCACTTTCCGCCTTCCCACTTTTTTCCCTACTCTCGCCCGCAGCAGGAGTTTGCTCGAAACCATGCACCAACCCATTGACCGTGGGCCCGAGATGTGCCGCCACAGCCCAGCTGGCACGCTGCCAAAGTTCGCACCCTGGAGCGATTGCGCAACTTCCATCCAAGCCCAAAGTCGGCGTTTGATGTGGGTCAAACTGTTGTAGAAAAGCCACCAGAATGGGGTCGGCCGTCATATCTTCAAATGGAAGAACAGCTGGAGCATCCACAAGAGGAACAAGCAACCGCCTTTCAGTTGGAGTTGTGAGATCACCATGCCAAGGATTTGCCTCGCAGTAGAAAGTGAAATGCTCACGATCAGGAGAGCTCAAACCACAATCACACTGCAAGTCGACTTCCAAACGTTGAGTAACTCTCCCATCCACTGCTGCACCTGTCAAGACTCTGCGACCACAATAGTTCAAATCATGCGCCACATTGGCCTGGAATTGGAACACAGGCAACTTACCTTCAGGTAAAGGACCCTCCGTTTTGGTGTCCTTCGTCCACATAAAAGCCAGCCATGCTGCAGCAGCAGCTTTGTATAAGCTTGAAGAAGACATCCACCCTGGTTTCAAAGTCCCCACGGGAGTGATCCACAAACCACCCTCAACACGCCAATTCCAGTCTTTGCAAACAGTATTCCACCTTGGGCCTGGCGAAACAGCGGCGGGCACACCTATGGCCAAGCGGCACTGGCGCTGCCATTCAGCCCGGGCTGCAGCAAAGTGAAGCGCAAAAGCAGGATGCAAACGCGGTGTGCCCAAAGAGTTCCAGAACAGCAATCTACTGCGACCTGGGGCAGGCTTGCGCCCCCAGACCGCCGCTTCAATACTGGAGGTCCAACTCTTGATGGTATCAACATCATAGTGGTGAAAAGCTCCTGTCCATGCAAACAAAGAGATCACCAACTGTCCCAGCAAGGTCTTGCGGGTGCCCAAACGTTTCGCTGCCAACCTGATTTTGCGACACCTCTCCTGAATGTCAAAGGAAAGCTTCTCTGCATTAACACAAGCACCTGCACGCTCCAAATTGTACTGAGTACCCAGAAGCGTGAACTTGCTGCAAGGAGCCCCCAACACGTCCTGTATCTGTGACAGCTGAGGCGTCAAATGTTGCTTGGTTGTGAAACTATTTAACTTGTCAGGATGGAGTTCCATGCCCAGAATTGCATCAACCTGCGCACCTGCCTGCATGGCGTTGGTGACCACGTGAATGCCGTTGACACCTTTCTTCCACATTGTGCGGTCATCCAAATAAACTGCAAGAGAAACACGAGGCTCTTGCAAAAGAACGAAGCGCACCCAGACTACCATCACCGCATTGAGTAAGGCTGGGCTTGCCGGGCAGCCCTGCAGCAGCCCCCGCCGAGCACAAATGG